GATCTCTTTCTTCCTTATCCACAAGAATCGTCGACGTGGACTTGTGGTCCGCAGACATAATGTTGTCTCTGCTTGCATTAGGTTAGGATAAAGACCAATCTGGTAAGTATCTGAGGTGGGGGATGACCCACACTTTTCTTCCTGTAAACCCTGTTACTGTCCCAACGCTAACACCCTTCAGCATTACTGTATTGCCTTGACTGTCCCACTGTCAGGGACCTCCTACCACAGGGAGTCACTAACTCCTATATGTCACCACCTACTTATTTATAATAATTTAGATTTAATTCTTGGATGCTACCCACGCTTTGGTGGGTGCTAACTCCCAATGTCCTTAAATCATATCAATACTGTCACCATATCACAAGTCATAGCGTGTCCTGTGAGACACGAGTACCAATGTGCAGGTATTAGTGTCTTACCGCATGGTTTTGTGACTAGGCTTGTCACCCCCTGGGGTGTAATAAATGAATTAAATAATAAATAATAAGCCCAGCATGACTAAACAGATGCTCACAAGCAGCAGATGCAGGGAGTGAGGTGTTAAGCTTCAGAGATAAGTCACATAATGTCGGGAAATACCTCAGAAGCTCAATTGCTTCCCTGGGCAATACAAGTAAGCTTTAAAGCTCCTTCCGTTGAGAGTTTGTGTATGATTGTTGCCTTCACAGTGACCGAGTCTGACTGAGACTCACCATAAACTGCCCCTCTAATTTGGGGTGTGGCTGTGGTGACATCACTCTTCGATTCTAATTGACGAGTGGCTGACTTTTTCGTACCACGTAACATCTGGCGGGTGCTGGGGGGGCAGTGGTACTTAGTTATTTAAGCAGAATTTTAAATACACTCAGTCTCACACACATATGTCTAGATACAGGCTTTATATCTAAGACGGTTTTATGTAAAGCATTTTAGAATCACAGCCTCCCTCTTTGAAATTCATTTTAGGTAAAGCTATATGCAAAGAGCAACTGACGCCTAACGGGAAGGTGGAGAAGATAGAGGATTCGATGGGCTAGGAAGGGATAAGAGGATAGGCTAGGTGATGTGGATGGTCAAGGTACTAATGGACACAAGAAGATCAAAGGTGAAAGTCCACTGTTACTTTCACCTGACCTCACCTCATGAGACCTCTAGGTATGTGACCTACACCATACCCTCCACCCACACAACTCTTTTACTATGGTTAATAATTAATTAATTAATTAATTAATTAAAAATATATTATTAGTTTGCCACAGACATTAAAACTCTTTGTTTGTCTGGGACATGTAACGAGTAACAATTTTTGTTTTTCAATTGTATTGGAGTAAAAGTATTAGAAAATCATACTTAACCTTTACGCCCCGGTTGAAGTTCCGGGACGCGCGCCTTTTTGCTCCATTGTTTGAATACCCAGCGAGGGTTATCAGGTTCCAGCATGACTATTTGGTGGTCACACCACTCGCAGGGTAGAGTGGGTGGGCTCAGTGCGGTCAGTAGGCATTAGCCTGCCGCCATGGAGAGTCATCCCTCTCATGCTCGGTCACCACGCAGCGTCAGGGAAGCACCACTGCCTCCCACCAACACCACCTCCCCTACGCAACGCTCCTAACTCCACGTTCGGCCACAGGGAAGCTTCTGGGTAAGTGCCAACTTTTTTTGTTTTCTTGTTTGTCCATTATTTCTTGTTGTATCAAAGTAATAATGCTAAAAGTAGTGTAGTTGTATTGTAGTGTAGTATTACTGGAAGATAACGTTATGATTATGATATAAATGTATTTATTTGTGGAAATATTATTCCAATAATTATTTATAGGCATTACTTGCTCTACCAAACACAAAGACAGCCAGACAGCCTGGCTATAGACTGAGTGTGTGTCACCAAGCACTTTTTATGAAAAGTAATGCAAATAAAATACATTCTAAATTAATTATTTATAGGAAATAAGTATTATGATCAGTAAATATACTGTATGCATTATTGGCCAACTCGGACACAAAGGCAAGCGGAAAAATTAGCCCTAAGTGCGTAGTGACAGCGAGCGCTCGCCATAAAAAAAACTTTCCCCGTATTTCCCTCGTCACTGAGGCACCACGGAAGTTTCTAGAGCAGGGTTCTCAACCAGGGGGGAATTTCCCCCCTCAGGTTTTCAGGGGGGGGGGGGAAACTGATACTAATATGGAAAAAATAAAGGATTTTCAGTATTATATACATATTATTTGGAATGCACTTTTTGAGGCAGACAATCTTGGAAAGGAGGGGGGAATGACATTCTGACATATGGTGAAAGGGGTGCATGGGGCAAACAAGGTTGAGAACCACTGTTCTAGAGGGACAATATACAGTCTGCGAGGAATGTTAGTTCGTGTGCTGAAAAAATATTGATATTTACGATTATGTTATATAAATAAAGTCAAGTAACACTTACCACTTCAATTAATACTTTGTAGTGTTTCCTCTGCACTTCAGACAGTCTTTTAGCCTTCGAGGAACACTGTCAGCAAGGTTTTGCAAGAGGTCAGGTGGCAAGTTAGCCCAGGTATCCTTGATGGCTGCCTCTAGCTTCGGGATTGATGATGTGTCAGCGTCGCGCTGACGACGCTTAACAATGGACCACAAATTTTCTATTGGGTTAAGATCTGGGCTACTGCCAGGCCAGTCATTAAGGAAAGGTACCTCACAGTCTTTGAGCCACTGTATGACACTTTTAGCAGTGTGGCATGGGGCACCGTCCTGCATGAAAAGGCTTGCCTTAGCTTTATCAAATGATTCAGGTAAGAAATCACTGAGCAGTTCAAGATAGTTGTACTGATTCATCATCTGGTTCTTAGGGAGGATTACTAGTTCACCAACACCATAATACGTAAAGGAAGCCCAAACCATAAGCGAGGCAGGGTGCTTAACAGTCTTCACTGTGTACTGTGGGAGGTGCGCGTCTGAGTGGGGGGGGGGGCGGTACACCCTCCCTCCATTACTCCCAGTCACAGAAAACGTAGCCTCATCCGACCATAATACACTCCTCCATGTCTCTAAATCCCACACTTCATATTTCTTGCAAAATTTCACTCTATTTTCCTTCTGTCTCTTTGTCAACAGAGGTTTACGGCGGGCACGAAAGCTCTTAAATCCCAGGTCATCGTGCAGGGCTTGTTGAACACAACGTAACGAGACGTGACTCAAAAGACGGGGGTTTCTCTCTTTCACTTCATGTGCTGTGAGTGAGGGATTGGACCGAACTTGTCGAGAAATAACCTTAAGTGTCCGTGGAGACAATAATTTAGGCCTACCAGACTTAGGTAATGGAGCTGGTAACTCGTCCTCTCCAAGGTCACAGAAACGTTTGACAAGATTTTGAACAACTCGTAATGCCACACCAGTCTGAGCCGATATTTCTCTCAGTACATGATTCGCTTTGTACAATGCAATCACTGCTGCAATATCGTCTCTTGCAGTAACCCTCCTGGACATCTCTGATGGCCACTATGTCGGGTTAATGCACCTTAAACTAGACAAAACATGGCCACCTAGCGCGGGAACCCGCACAAAAAACCTTCCCCTCACAGCTGCCAGAGGCGCACTGACTACAAGCTGTGACGTGTTCTCAGTTGCCAAATGTCAGCACTTGCCAACAAACCAAGCGTTTTGACATTCGCATCCCAGGACAGGTTTCACAACATATGATCTTATTTTTGCGAGAACTTAGTTCGTCGGCCCTATCACGACTTAACATTCCGCGCAGACTGTATCGCTTTTCTTACATCTTTTTTATTGTTTTATCGTTTATAAAGGTTACTGTACAAATTATTTTTTTGGAAAGTTGATTTTTCTCGTTTTACCCCGCATGGGGGGTACAGCTGGCTCCACCCTAGCCCAGGGCGGAGAGGTTAAGTAAAAGTACTAAAAAATTTTAATACTTTTTAAAACATAGATACCTAAAAATGTTACTCGAGTACAGTATTGTACTCTAAGTAAATTTATTTAGTTACTTTACAACTCTGCATATACTGTACAGGCATCCCCCGCGTTACGGAACCCCGGATTGCGGAATTTCGCTGTTACGGAATTTGTGAATTATGACCAATAATTTCGCGATATGGCCCATAAATCGGCCCTTACGGAAATTGGGGTAAATTAAAAAAAAAAAAAAAAAATCACTACGTATATAAAATTAAAATTTTTTGTTAAAAATTATAATTTGTTTGATGTGGATTTCTTGGTGTTTGCTTCTGCCAAGAGTCACTCCATTGTTTACATCCAGTGTGACCGCATGTTTCTCGCCCCAGCAATTTGATTTAACCTTTACAAACATACAGTAAGTACAGTACAGTGCATTACCCTTATTCAAGATGACTGGAAAGAGGCCATCAAGTGGAAGTGACCGCAGTAGTGCAAAAAGAAGCCGCAAAGGCATTACATTGAATATTAAACCTGATGTTTTAAGAAGGTATATCATAAATTATTTAATGTACTGTATTGTAAGTGTTTATAAATGTTTATTTTCATTCATAAAAGTGCTTGAATTACTTTTTTGGGGCCGAAAAAAATTCCTTAGGAACACATCTCCAGTTCTATAATGGAAGTCAATGGGAAAATAGGTTTCGCGTTATGGAATTTCGCGATACGGTCAATTTTCCAGGGACGCAACCCTCCGCGTCAATTATCTTAATGTTGATAATTACACCAGTTTCAAGATTTATTCAGCATTTTTTGTTGCAATTTCACCAGAAACAAACTGCTGCAGCCACAACCTCAGTATCGAAAACCAAATATTCTTTACCAAATACAAGAGCATGAAGTCCTATATTTCACCATGTACACCACATCATCATACCGCGCAAGATGCAATATGCTGGAAGGAAAATCCACCCATAAAATTCGCAATCATGTCCATCAACGATATCCTCAAAACTTCACACAGTCTAATGACAGCACTGTATATACAAGCCTCCCATCATACGAGGTTAGACCAAATCAGTTTATGGAGGAGCTGTAAATTTCTACTTATTTTATCATAACAACCCGAACATACGACCACCGTGGTCGCATAAAATATTTTTCAAATTATGTATTTTCTTGTACCGACGTTAGTGATCGCACTGTGCCGACAAAATTTTCGTTAGTAATTCCCTATAAAATGGCTGCCAAGTGTAAAAGTGAGAGTTCTCGTGGTGCGGAGATGAAAAAGAGACACCCATTTTAGAATTTCTATGTATTATTTTCGCCTTTTCGACTTAAGACCAATTCGACTTAGAACCTGGTCGTCGGGACGGAACCCTGTCGTAAGTCGAGGAGAGACTGTACTTTAAGTTCATGCAATTTTCTTTATCAAAAGGTTAGTGGCAATGTACTCTTTGTAACTGCTTGGTCTTCAATGGATGGGGTGTGACAAAGAAAATGTTGGCTCTTGAGGAATACTGTACAGTAAAGTAATTATTTCTTGAAATTATAATGGATATAAAATAGTTTCTCCACTCCATCTTGCATCTGTACTACCAAATAAACAGCCTATTATGGCCAGTGAAACAATAAGAACAATTAAATTGAAGCTAGAAATGGAGCAATCATCCTTAATGCACATTTTTATAACCAAGCCTGGGAGGACTCACTTGCAATATTACCAAACTAAGTCTATGGTTTTCAACCTTGATTGGTGACTATTTTATCAAGTGTTCTGGGTTTTTTTTTATATCCAGATAAGACAGGAAGCCACAAATACAGTATTGAGAGCTAACTATACTGGATTGTACTTGTAGAGAGAAGACCTGTCAAATCAATTGCACTAAAAGATCAGTACAGTAATAGCCACACTAAAAAATTATTTATTGTACAATACTGTATTCAGATTTACCTGTACGTATTGAATTAGAAAAACATCTGCAATACTATATACAGCAGTAATCTCCATACACTAGTACAGAATCTTGACATATGTTTGTGTACCTGTACTGTATAAAAACAATTAAATACACCAGAAAACAGCAATCCTACCAGGTCATCCTGCCTCCTGGGTTCTTCTCAAGCCGTACCCACACAGTCATGTCTAATTGAAAAAGCATTGAAGATGTACAGTACATACCATATAATTGCTCCCTTCAAATCTAAAGCTAAATTTAGCCAACTACCATCAACATATTTCAGAATCAACCTTGACCAAAAATAAACTTGGGTCACCACAGTCCCATATTTCAGTTTTATTTGTGGAGTTTGTACTACAGCAAATTTACAGTATTTGCAAATTAAATTATCCTTAATCTCACTCTCCAGCATTTCATTCCCATTAACATAGTCCTTACCATACATGATCTTACATTTCTACCCTTCAGGAATATGACTGAGAAGGGCTTTGAAAAAAAGCTGGATTAAGGTTAACAAGCAGCTTGCTGTATCTGTATACTGTCTGTACAAATATTCAAATGCCAGAATAAAATGTAAACATATGGTAACAAATTGTATGACTTATAACACAAATTCTGATACATTGTGGTGGCTATAGTAGAAACGACATTTGAGTCTCAACCAGGCATGAAGTACAGGGTAATTAAGAAAAATTATATCAGTATACTGTGCCAAAACGATAAAAATCTCCTCAATGAGTATTATTTCCATACTCACATTGTATTTTCCGTGGACTGCGTAACTCTTGCTAACACACACTGCATCATATCTAAAGAACATATAGCCGTTTCAATTATTTTCTTCTCTTGATCAGGTGACATACTGGGCAAAACAGAGCCACCAACACACACTTTCATATCCATGGGGAATTCTTGGCTTAAGGACGAGTTTAAGTCTCTTAACCTCAGCTCATAATGGCCTTTTGTTATGTCAAGACCTCTCTGAAGCTGCTGGAGATAACCTTTCTGAAGCACTGGTAACACTTCTCTAATTCCTGTTTTGTTTTCCTTGTCCCGAATAAATACAAAAATTAGAAGATTCAGGGCAGCCATAATGCAATCACTCCATTCAAGTAAGTCTGTCTCCTCAGCATCTGGGAGGAAACATGCCATCTGAACAAGTTTTACTAAACTATTTCCACTAAAATATGGGTCCACTGTATCTTGACTTAGAGAAAAAGCAATATTTTCTTTTAGTTCATGAATAACTAAGCCCAAAACCCCGGCATGTTTTACCGATAGAAGCAAAGCTTGAATCAACTTTCTTCGGCCAACACTGTCAAATTTGCGGAGATATGATCGCAATGTGTTTAGAGCAGATGTTCGCAGTTCAAGGTTATCACAATATATCATAATTCTTATCAATAACTGTGGAAAAGAAGAATGTGCTTTTGCTTCCAGACACTGACTTGAAAGGGACTTTTCTGGAAGTTTATTCAAGATGGCTTTTGCTAGACTTAATCCTTTGTGAATGGGTATATGCTCTTTTTCCTGTAACAGATTGGCTATTAGAGGTAAACAGCTGAGAAACACATACTGGTGAGAGTACACACAAGGCACATAGTCACTAGCCATGTCTTGACTCAAGACACAGTAAAAGAAAGAAGCCAATGAAAGCTGAGAAATTTCATCATTCTTTTCACTTCCCCCATCTTCAAAATCTAAAGGATCTTCTATACTTGTATGTTTAGTTTCTTTTTCTTCATTATTTTCTTCCTTTGCTAATATAGTCTTTGAAGTATTCCATGTGATACTGGAAAACAATTTAAATGTATTGCACAAGAGACTTGCAATCATGTTTGTAAATTCATTGCAAGTGCGATACAAAGAACTCTCTGCTTCTCCATTGTTACAGAACACATCCAAATATGTGAAAGGCTTGTGAAAAAGTTGAAGAAGAAACCTGGAAAGAAATTCTCTTGAACTGGTCACTTTACCCGTCCATATTAGTTCTCCATCTATTACTTTTTTATAAAACACTTCATAGAAGTCGACCAGCAGACGTAAAGCCTTGCATATAGCTTGAACCTCTGGGTGAACATCTAAAAGTTTCCTCTCTTTGCCTTCTAAATTATAGCCTGATGGTAAATTCATGGCTGCTACATGAGAATAAATTGCATTAAATACCCATGAGAAGGTTATTGGGCGAGTGTTTCTTGATGCTTGGCGCAGTAATATTATCTGAATTGGGTGTAAAATGACACGGAAATGAATTTCTGTAGTGTGGGTGTCTAATTCTTCCATGAACACCAGAACTGCTTCCTTAGCATTTGCAACAGATGCAATATGAACAAGCAAGTCTTCCACACACTTTTCTCCGTTAACATCAAGGTCTTCCTGCAAAAATTTAGTAATTATTGGTACAAGGTCGAGGCTGTTATGAATAAGATATCGTTGATACTTGTCTTCTCTTATCTCATTAATGGCAGATTCATAATCACCATCTCGCAATTTTTCCCAAAGAATGGACCCAAGTTCTACTTGGAGTATTTCTTGTGAAACATCAGCAGTTTCTGTATTAATCTCTGCATCCATATTTCCTTTTTTTCAGTTCTAAAGTAAAACTTAATGTGAGTAACCACAGAACTAGTGTCTAAACATGCAATTTATCAGTTATGACTTGCTAGGAATCTCTGGTCGAGTCTGCTTTCTTGTCTTCATAAATGGTACTATCTCTGTTGTGTTCCAGATTCCTCTTCAGTCTGAAAGCAATCAGGAAATCTGTCTTCAATATTAAACCTCTTCCTTCCCTTTTAGCTACATGGATATGTCATAAAGTATTCCCAATATCTTAGCAAAATTTTCAAAAGTTGTTGGTTAACTCCGACCCGTGCCAGCATATTACCCTCATCGGTAATCTTGTATTTACTAGGCATAAATTCACAAGTGATGCCGTTGGCATTCAACAAGACTGAGAACTTTCCAAAATACCTGATACAGTACTGCTACATTACATTATTTACTGTTAGTAAAATGAACCAAAATAACTTAGCTAACCTAACTTACCTAAACTTCACCTAAACATTATATAAATTATGTTGTTACCGGGTAGGTTAGGTAAGTGTAATAGAGCAATACAATATCTGATATTTCAAAGGGTAAAGATTCGTTTTAGGTCGACTATGGAATTTCATATTAGTATATTTATATAGGGAGAAAGAGAAAAATTATCTTATGTTTCTGGTGCAAATTTATATTTTTTGAGTACCGGGTATGTTAACCGATAAGACCTCCCTTGTGGAAATGACATAATTAAGCCGGGGGAGCATCCCCCCCCCAGTTAAGAAGTTAGGTCAGGTCAGTTGCAAGGGAAACATCATAGAAGAAAAGTGTCTTAGAATTGTCTTAAACTACTGAGGAAAAATTCCAATGACCGAAACTAAAACATTACCCCTACCTTCAGCTAACCTATAAAAAACCTAAAACTATGAAACATTTACCTTAATCGCATTTTCGGCGTTCAAAAGAGGAGCGGATCTATGAACTCTAAAGCAATTTTTAACTTTTTATAGGTTAGGAAAGGTTTGTTTGATGTTCTTTTTAGTATTTTACCCCTCATTTTCCCTCTACTCCAAAGTCCTGCCCACTTTGAACAACCAATATTGTTGGTAATTGGGGGAGTTAAAATACAGTACTCGAAAAATTTTAATTTGTGCAGGAAATAAGATTTGTAATTATTTTTATATTTATTTTTGCTCTTTCCCCCTGAAAAGAAATATGAAATTCCATACTGAACCTAAAACGAAACTTTACCCTTCAAAGATTTCTCAATCTTTCCAAATGTCAACAAAGGTGCTGTGATTACAGTATACACCTGTTAAATACAAGTTTACCCCCATAATCTCTCACAATTCTACTTTTATTTTTTCAATCAATGTATTAAGGAAGAGAGCCAATGACAGGTTCACCCCCCCCCCCCACCCCCAATATCCCTAAGCAGTTTGTTCTTTATTGGGTATTATTTTACTTTTGGAAAACATGGGAATCTTAGGAATTTTGGTTAATATTAACGACTGACCCACCTGCGCATTATTTGTTTTGATGTTTATTTTCTTAATACATTTTCATCATTGTGTTCTGATATGATAATCATTTCTTGTGCAAATGCTTTGTTTGTTAGATAATTAAGTGCACAATACAGGTTGGATCTTGTTAATCTGGGAAGCTTGGGACCAGACCGGTTCCGGATTATAAAAAATTCCAAACCATTGAAGCCAAGGTTAATAAAAGGCACGCAAGGCCCTGACCGCTGTACCACTGTCTAATTTCTTCAGTATAGACACCTTTTCTAAAATAGTTAATGTCACATGCTTACGTTTTGCCGCATTACAACCACTTCCACTGCTTGCTGGTCTCTTAGGAGGAATATTTAGGGGAAAATTATAATTATTTAAAGGTAAAATAGTGGCAACAGCCACTAGAAGTGAGCTATGACATCATCCTGAACCATCAAGGCTGTCGGACTATCGGGTCCTGGATTAGCGGGGTCCAGCCTGTACTTTGTATTCTTGACAGTAATGCGGTGGTGACATCTCATCCCAGGATGTAAAGAGCCAATCATATTGACGTATTTCAAAATGCTCCACTGCTGGGCGCCGGATCGACACCAATGCTCAATGCACACTCATGAGTAGTTCGGCATGAGCGGCTGCTCTCACATCCACAAAAAACATAAAATCACACCTTATTATAGTAAGTTCTTTCTATTTAACATACCAGGAGGTCTGGGGGCAGATCCCTAAGGCTTGGAAGTTAGGTAGATTTGTTTGGTAAGGTTGGAGGGTAAATTTTCTCGTTGCCTGTATGAAAACAAAGTTGAAATTAAGTTTTTCTGACGATTTTTGATGTGTTATGAACGAATTTGAACTTCCTTTCTGGTGCAAATCAATAGTTTCTGAAATAAGTCCCCCCTCCCATTTCAGAATCTAGAGATTTGCTATAAAAATCAAGATAAAAAGTGTTTAAAACACACACAAACCACCAGAACAAGTTTTGAATCTATCCTAACCAACCAACCAAACCTAACCTAACCAGGAACTCCTCATTCTTTCGATGTTCTACGTGTGTACCGCCACGTATGAGCATACATAATAAATGTTAAATATCTCGTTTATACATAATTAGTGCCAGAAATGCCTTTGAAGAAAAGTGTCTTAGAATTCTAAAAATTACTGAATGCAACTATAAAATTCATAAGATTTGATTAGTGGCAACAAGTGAAAGATAAATTTTCAAACATAATAAATGTAAAATATCTTGCTTATACATAATTTGAGGCAGAAATGCCATTGTAGAAATGTCTTGGAAATGTCAACATTACTGATTGCAACTATAGAATTCCCGAGATTCGTTTAGTGGCAACATGTGAAATACCTGTAATACCGCTTGGTGAGGTCTTCTAACAATGCTACAGCCGGTTGTTTTTCGTGTCAACTAAGGTCAGGTTAGGTTTAATAAACACTGAAATTGCAGCATTTTTATAATAATTTTCCATGAAAACTTGGCCGCAGGTCAGTCGTCAATAATTACTGGAATTTTATGTTTATCAAGTAGTTTTGACAATTCTAAGACACTTCTATTATGTTAGGAGGTTAGGTTAGGTTAGGTCACTTGTGAGGCAAAAGTCACAGAAGAAAAGCATCTAGAATTGTTGGTAAATTTTTACTTGTTGCCACTATACAAAATAAGTTTAAACTATGTTTTTCAGATGGATTTTGATGTTATGAACAAATTTGACCTTCATTTCTGGCACAAATTAATATTTTCTGAGGTAAGCCCCCACCCTCCCATCTCAGAATCTTTGAGATTTGCTATAAAAATCAAGGTAACGAGAGTTCAAAACATATCGAAAACCATCAGAAAAATAGTTTTGAATCTAACCTAACCTAACCAACCAAACCTACCTATCGAGGGGACTCCTCAATCGTTCGATGTTCTGGGTGTGTACCGCCACCTTGAGCATACATTATAAATGCTAAATATCTCGCTTAAACAATTAGCACCAGAAATGCCATTGCAGAAAAGTGTCTTAGAATTGTCAAAACTACGGATTACAACTATAAAATTCCCGAGCTTCGTTTATCGGCAAAAAGTGAAATTATGCCGAATTGTCTGAACATTTGGTGGTATTTTTATCGTTTTGGTCATCCAGCGAATTTTAAAATTTTACATTACCACCGTCCGAGAGCTTCTGTATAAGTTAGGTTAGGTTATTTTTTTCCAAAGGGTTTTTATGTACTTTGAACGCTCCTCACCTTCATCTCTATCGCAAATTACAACTTTTTGTGATTTCCCCCCTACCCAAAACCCCTGGTTCCCACTGGGGGTCCCCCATTATCGTTCAATAAATGGAGGGAGCTCCAAAAGTAGTGATTTGCAATAGAAAGGTCAGAATCGGTATTACTGCTGGTTTGGCCAATACACAGTCGACTGTTTTAACCATCCCCAACCTTTAGATCTCCTTATTTGGAGTATTTCTAACCCCATTTCAACCAGGGGTGAAAGAATAATGTCAGAAATGAATTTTAAAGTTGTTCCATTTTTTTTTGTCTGGTGGGGGGGGGGGGGAACTGTAAAATTTGGTACTTTCCCCCAGAAATAAAGGTAAAATCAGATTAAATCACACCAAAATACACAGGAAAACTAATTTCTTTACTACTAGAGCATATTGGCGTAAACTGCAATTTTACCTCAAAATCGTTCAAAACACACCAAAAACCATCGGTAACACATAATTTAAATTTCCAAATAAGTGGAAGACCGAAACAATAATTTTACCCTATTTATTGCACAGATAAAATTCCAGTATTGTTCTTCTATAACTTTTCTTAGGGGTGAGGGTGTGGGCCCTCCCATGACCTTACACCTATATACATAACACAGTGGCTCAGTCCATAGTAAAAAATACATCCAACACTATGAGAGAACTGTGTCTAAACTACTTAATTAGTATAATACAAAATGATGACAAATCTTACCAATGGTCCTGGAAACATGTAATAGTCGGCGGAAAAGATGAGTCTTGGTTATTGTATTCATCGCCGCTCGCCACCAGGTGTACCAACCCATACTGTATTCTTTCCAAGCGAATAATTGTAACATTTCTATGTATATAAATAAACTGGTAGTGCTATCTAATAAAAATATCATGGAGTAAAAAAATCGTCAGATTCCATTACCTGATGAAAATATAATGGTTATCTTCGTTAAGGTTTTACGATTTAGGGATTCGGTAGTGACCTGACCGAGCTGCCGTCTGTCTTACATAAAAATCACTCGCATAAGATTAAAATTATCATTAATTTGTAATACTAGTTTCGCAAAATGATTCAATAATAAGATAGGACGTGAACAATTTTTGCTAAAGTGTATACCCGGGGAGGAATGTCGGTAGGAAGTGTTGGCAGCCTTGTGTTCAGGGTTGCCAGGTTTGCTTTTCTAGAATAGGCCAAACAATTTTCTAAAAAGGTCAAACACAAGGCCAAACCCCCATTTATCAAACGCTGTGTTATTAGCCGTGATCATATTAATTATTAAGCCTAAATACGGTATACAATAAATAATCGTATATTATTATACAAGACTAACAATGAAAAAGAGCAGGAAAACCAATCGCTACGAGAGCTCTATCAAAACGTTCCTTAATTTGTCATACTACTGTACTGTATATCACACAGAAAGGGTGCAGATAAAATTGTACCAACTGCATATACCGAAAGCAATTAAGCTTATACATTATAATTATCAATACTCACCAATTGTTATCCAGTTTGAAGATATCTCTGGTAAGTAAGAGCAATTCAAAACTTTAGAAGTCCACCTGCGTTATTTCTAGGGATGGGCAAACCGAAAGAGCACTTTGATAGAACCGAGTACTGCTGTCACAGATTACAGATTGCCCCGGAGGGGGCTAGTTTATTGGGCACCCCCTTACATCCTGTGCAAGGTGAAGCGCAGAAGCGTTTACAGCGCCCAACTGGGAAGCATGCGGAGTTCATGCTTGCCTTTATGACTCATGCATTAAGGGCGTAAAAGGCCTGAAGGGTCATGGGTTTTGTCAGCAAGTTACATAAAGTGACAATGATGAGTGTGTGGGGGGAAAATTCCCGGTACAATTTATCTGTTTATGGCAAAATGTGGCAGGTCACTAATAATGTCAAGTGCCAGGCCTGTCACTAGGAGGAGGGATATCTGGTCAGGGAGGGAAGAGGTGCCACCCTTGTAGGGGGAGGTCATAGGGCAGATGAGGATGTGGTGAAAGAGGGTGTGAGAGTCTGTTGACCACAAAGTTTACAAACAGTGCGGCCAGGCTCAGGGTTGCCAATGTACTAGGCGTGGCGAAGTACAGTGGGGGTGGAGGTGATATGGTGTGGTGGGGCAGGTACAGTAGGGGTGGAGGGAGGCACATAGGCATTGACAACATTGAGGGACACACCTTTTAGTGTGATTGTGAAGGTGTGTTCGTCGACATGTCGGTGGGGTACAGGTAGCCGGGGGTGGTGTCCTCAGGTCCAGGTAGCCCTGGTGGAGACAGCTCAGACACGGGCGCGGCTTGCGGTGGGTGGTGGACAGGTTGAGGCACCAAGTGTTGTGAGGATGGGGCAGGACTTCGCTCGGGGGCAGCAGGACACACCAGGGCAGACCCGGTAGGCACTACACCAGTAGTGAAGGCCGCCGGCGGTGGAGTAGGCCGTGAGCAGGGGGGGCTCACGGGGGGACCAACAGCTTGTGTCAAACCAGCAGAGAGGAGTGACTGGGTGGCAACAGAAGGCAGGAGTAGGTGGGAGATGGTGGTACAGAGTGTAGCGAAGAGTTTTTCAATACGGTTGGTAAATTCTTGGAAGAGGGATATGATCTGTGTCATGTCACTGGCGGGGGGTTGTGGGGGGGCACCGGTGGGAGCGCAAGGCCTGACAGCCTCAGAGTAGAGACGAGGAGGAGGCCCAGTAGTAGTTGAGTTAGGAGACGGCCGGGACTGCTGTGTTGTAGCCAGATGAGGCCAGGCAGAGGCAGGTGTTGTTGAAGAAGGCATTGCTGGAGACACAGGGCATACAGGGGGGGTGTGGTCCGGAAGACTGGGGGGGGGGCGTTGTAGAAGACTTGGCCTTCGGGGAGGCTTTTCCCCTGGGACAGACGGGCGATTGGGGCATTGCCGTGAGTCAGCATTGTGCCGGCCGCCACAGTTACAACATCTGGGATTAATTACATAGCCCACCCCACCACTATTAAGGTGGTCTTTGATTTTCTGGGCACAGGCGGCGGAGTTGTGGTTACGTGAGCAGAAGCGACATCTCGGCCGATCACGACGACAGCAGGCAGTCACTAGGTACCCCTGTACAATAACACCAGAAGCATCTGGCAAGTGTCACAAGTATATACAGTATAAATATTATAAGGGAGCTCACTAAAGCCTAAGGAATGAAGGATATTCCTTAAACATATTATCAATATTATTTACATAATATCTGGCCAGTATGGGGAGGATCATCGTGTCTCCGTCAGGGGGTCGTGGAGTGGTGGTCCAGCAGGCGTCACAAGCGTTGTGTGGGGAGACATCTTAGGAGGTAGTGGATAAGGGTGCTGCTGTCGGGTGTTCTGCATAATGCACAAGAGCGTTGCTCAGGGGATGCGGGGATACCAATCTCCCAAGCAAAGTCAAACCCAATGATGATACGGGCAGCAATCACGTCCCTTTCCCATAGACGTACGAGAGGTCAGGAAGTTTACGGAGGACATCCTACCAGGTGGGCGGGGAGTCCAGGGGGATGGCCGCTTCCCGAGCTTCTCTGTTTGCGGCGAATTTTGGTCCGAAGGAGTACTTCTTTTACTTTTATCCTCTTCACCACTGATCGGCTCGTTAGCCGCTTAGGCGATCGGTCATGCCTCTGTTACGCACTGTTGGCAAGTACTGGGCATGCACCGGTTCCTCAATGTACCTGAACCCGCTCCTTTACAAGGTTGTTTCGTAGTAGATGTTCCATCATGGCATCTCTTATAATGCTCTCAAATATTTTACATACTATGATGGTTAGGCTCATCGGTCTATAGTTATTCGTGGATTGACGATCGCCCTTCTTGAAGATAGGACGATACTAATTACTCTTCAGAACCGAGTAAACCAAATACTTACTTTTATCCTCTTCACCACTGATCGGCTCGTTAGCCGCTTGGGTGATCGGTCACGTCTCTGATTACTTTTCCTTTTCTTTTATCCTCTTCACCAAAAGATCGGCTCGTTAGCCGCTTGGGCGATCGGCCACGTCTCTGTTAAGCACTGTTGGCAAGCACTGGGCATGCACCGGCTCCTGAATGTACCTGAACCCGCTCCAGTGTTGGTCAAGTCTTGTCTTGAAAGAGCTCACACTCGGTGCCGTCACCACACTCTCTGGTAGATTGTTCCAAGAGTTTACAACCCTCGCTCTGAAAAGGTTTGCCCTCACAGTTTTCTGGACTTGCGGCTTCTTCAATCTTGAGCTGTGACCCCTTGTGGGGTGAGCGTCCGCCAGCTCCAAGTAAGGACACTCGACTGAGTAGTGCCCCCTGAGATGCTTATACACCTCACCTAGGTCCCCCCTTGCCCGTCTGTAGTATAAGCTAGGCAAGTTCAGGTAGATTGTAATTGATTACCTTTTAAATCCGACCTTTTTGTGCCATAATTTGCTTGTTTCGCATGTTGTGTGCATCACAGACTTACATTTTTATATATATTCTGATTAGTAGTCTCATGTTATCAAAACAGCAGTGAGCTGCTGAATACTTCATACAATTTTTAAATCATGAAGTAAATGGTATAGGTGAAGGCCACAGTAACAGCTGATAGATAGTTTTTATGAGCTGTAGTTCTTTGGTTTCGAGGAAATTCGAGCTCACAAGATAATTATTTGGTTGAACAATGATGAAATATATTCATTTTTTGTGAGTAATCAGTGGCCTATAATTATTTATGTTGGAAAACAATACATCCTGCTTCGACTATTTGTTTAAGATATAATAGGATTACCAAAGCTATAATAAGTTCAATAACTTGCTGTCATAATAGAATACTTGTATGTGCTCCTGTTGGTAATAAGGGGATCCTTTAAACGATAAAAACTGCACAGGAAAATGGGTTTCCAACTTATGATTGCTCTGTAAATGGAAAAAATAAAGTCATTAGGTTCATAAACAAAGTGAAAAGTAATCAAATTCCAGGACAGAGTTAACCGACTACTCGAATCGAAATGCCCATACCTAATTACTTTTGTCATTTCCTCATTATCTTCACATTCTTGCTCACTTAGATTAGGGGAAAATCCAGCAGTTGCTGTCACTATTGATGATTCTATAGACGGTCCTTCAGTACGTTCAGCTCTGCTCTTGTACATTGAGCTGTTGATTCTTATCAGTTACTTTAAAATATTTACTGCAGCATTTTTTCTCACCGGCAAGATGACTCCTAATTTGTAACACAGCTTCCATGGTTTCTACGTAGAGCCTGTTTCTTACTTTTGTATTAATATTTGTTACTTGCGAAAAGAATTCTTTCGACAAAGGCATTACTTAATGGCAATGCATGAGCATTCTAAACCATTTGCGCAAGTTCAGAAAAACATTTGACTTCTGCAATATTTTCCTATTTCTGCAGTGACCCAAAACTTAACTGAATTACGTGGTACTCATCACCAGTAAACTCTTGTTTCCAGTTTACCAAGAGAAGTTTGTCATACAAGTTATTACGGGAAATCAAGAACCAAGCGGACTGTGAAGAGCTGCAGAAGGATCTCTGTGAGCTCCAAGAATGGTCGAAGAAATGGCTGTTGAGATTCAATGTCACGAAGTGTAAGAGGATGCACCTGGGGCGTACCAACGGTAAGGAGGCATATCATATGTCCCAACGGGACGAAGAAACTGATCTGAGACTGAATGTGAGAAGGACCTAGGTGTGTATGTTGGCAATGAGCTGAAGTTCTCGGGCCATTGCGAGAAGAAGGTAAATCAGGTAAATAAATTATTAGATCTTACACCAACAGACGGGCAAGGGGTGACCTAATTGAGGTGTATAAACATCTCAAGGGGCACTGCTCAGTCGAGTGTCCTTACTTGGAGCTGGCGGACGCTCGCCCCACAAGAGGTCAAAGCTCAAGATTGAAGAAGCTGTAAGTTCAGAAAACTGTGAGGGCAAACTTTTTCGGCGTGAGAGCTGTGAACTCTTGGAACAATCTACCAGAAAGTGTTGTAACGGCACCGACTGTGAGCTCTTTCAAGACCAGACTTGGCCAACACTGGAGTAAGTTCAAATACTTTCAGGAGCTGGTGCATGCCCAGTACTTGTCAACAGTGCGTAACAGAGACGTTGTGGGGTACAGGTTATTTGTATCACACTCAGGATGGGATGGAGAAAAAACTCACAATGTGCTCTCTGTATACATGTTGTATTGGATGTACCATGCAGCTTGGTGCTGGGAAGGCAGCATGGTTACAAGCGTTGAGTAGAGAGAGCTGGTTGGTGAGGGTGCTCAGAGGAGGACCAGCTTGTGGGTCGCCATGCTCGCCGGCGGGAGCGAGGGCCGCCAGGCAGGAGAGGAGGAGGAGGAGGTGTTGCTTGCTGGTGGCTGTAGGTAGAAAGAGTGGTCACCTCGAGGTGTGGGTCGCCATGGTCGCCGGCTGGAGCGAGGGCCGTCAGGCAGGAGTGAAGGAGGAGGTGTTACTTGAAGACTGGCTGTAGATAGAAAGAGGTAGGGTCACCACGAGGTGAGATCTTATATAGCGGAGGTAGGCGTGGCTTAATAGTTGACCTCCGTCATGTAAGGCAGCGCTGGTTGACCTAGACCACGAGGCATACACTGGGGAATTCGCGGGGTCGGCTACTCAGCGACAAACAGCGTTTGTAGGGGAGGAATCCACTCCAACGTGACCGATCGCCCAAGCGGCTAACGAGCCGATCAGTGGTGAAGAGGATAAAAGTATAAAAGTAATAATGCGTTTGCAGCAAAGGTATGTTCCTACTTGCTTTCGTAGAATCATCAGTGATGTGAGCAAATGTTGCTGCAATACTAGTAAAGGACATACGCATCTGACTCAGACACTCCTTTGGCTGAAAATATTTTAGATTTTCAACAATGTCAGTGTCTTAACTTAGCCTCTTATCTAACTGATTTTTTTCCTCAAGAAGGAAATCATAGCATTTCTGTTTAATATTTGCTTTTGCTTGTTCAGATAAATTTAATTACTTTGCTAATCTGACAAACGACGTTTCGATGAAAGTATATAGTTTGAAGTTATATTATATTACAAAATACAGCGGGTATTGTAAAAACACACAAAAAAGGGTCAAAATGTGGTTGGCCTCAAGGAAAAATAATCGAAGGCCAATCTCACCTCGAAAAGGCCAAATTGGCTTTTTAAGGCCAAACCTGGCAACCCTGCCTGTGATAGGAACAAGATGGCTGGAAGCAGAAACATCAGATGAGATAGGGCTTAATTACCTTGCTGTAATTGCGTCCAATGGCTGTGTCTTGCGGTAAGCTGACGCCCAGAGGCTGTCTCGAAGAAAGATGATGAAGAAGGTGAGTTTGTCTCAGCTATTAAGCCGGTCGCCGCGCCATGGCAGCAGCTCGGGGAGGAGGGCGAGTAGTACTAATGGTGAAGTATTGGTTGGGTCCCCCGCCCCCTCCAATACCACCACAACATCATCAGCCTCATCTCCAACACACGACCCCTCCTCCAATACTCAAGACAAGACCGCAAAAAAGAAAACTAAAAGTGGCATTCTTCAAACGTTGAAAAAGAAAATCAGTGGTAAGCTGGACACTTTTCAAAACTCAAACTCTTCTAACACCCCTAAAAAGAGTAAAAGTTTTGAGGGGTTGTCAAATAGTTTTGGAGACTCCTTCTCACAGTCAATTAGTGAAGAGTCTTCAAGTGATGGGTTAAATGCCAGCGGGGGACAGTCGCACAAAGGAAAACATAACAAACGTGCAATCCGTCCCATGCACACACCAATAACACGACAAAACTCTTCCTCCCATGTGTTGACGGATTCAGAAAGTGAGATGTTAACAAAAACGAGCCATGGAGAATGTGTTAGAGTACCAGGAAATAAAGTCATTGAGCCAGTCACAAGCCCACAAACTCAAATTGCTGCAGTGTCGTTGTATAGTAAAACTAACTACATATCAGAAAACAATTCCGCGAAAACGGAGACATTGTTGCCGAGAGTGAGTGTCAAGCAAGACAAAAGTGCTGTCTTGCCACAAGTGCTGGTGGAAAATGTAAGTGGTAAAGTGGGGGCCTTTGCCTCAACAACTGACCCCAGACAAATACCCAACAGTCTAGAACATAGTGCCATATCAGAGACATCTTCACCACAGCCCAGTAGAATGTACGGTGAACTGTGGGAGCTACAGGACATTAATTATGATGCCAGTAAAAGAAGTTTAGCAGAGGAACTGTTCAGGTTAGCAAAGTATGGGTGGTACTGGGGGCCAATCACCAGAGCAGAGGCAGAGGAGAAATTAGTAGATCAACCTGACGGAGCATTCCTCGTGCGTGACTCCTCAGACGACAAGTACCTGTTGAGTCTCAGCTTCCGATCCTTCAACAAGACCCTCCACACACGGATTGAGCACAGTAATGGTTGGTGATTCCAGCAGTTTACCTCCTGTATTGTTTATTCAGATAACCTTGATTTACTTATTTCCATTTAGGTCTTGTGAAATTGGGATCATATGATACTAATCTTAAAGGTGAATGTGAATAATGAGAATAGTTGTTATTGTAAAAGGGCCTGTGCTTATTAATAGAATTTTTATTTTGAAAATTTCCTGAATGTTCTTGTTACTTTCTGTATTTAAAAACAATTGGCACACGTAAAGGATATGAATCCTAAATGCCCAAGAATTCTAATTTAAACCTATTACTGTAGTAGGGAGGGCTATGAATCAGAGGAAATACAGAATTAAAATATAATATAAATTTTCTTACCACTATACAGTATTTTATATAAAACTCAACTCAGTAAAAAATTAAGAAAAAAATATCTGATGGAAAATATTAACACTGAACGTTTGTGACGATGTATCTAAAGTAAACTTTGGAAGCAGTGCCTTCACCAATTGTAAAGTCTATAACATGCAATTTAAAATGTCTTTTGGCATTTGAAATTTGATCATTTATCACATCAGCTGGTACAGTATGGTCCTGTACTGTATTTTGAAATTTTATTTTTATTATTATTATTTATATTTTTTGGGGGGAGGGGTGTAATTTTCTGACATTGAGCTTAATATGCACATCTTAACACAACAGTCCTTGTCTAAAAATGCAACTTTTCCACACCGATACAGTACAGTACATTGAAATTCACCCAATGTATGTACTTTTACTTTTATCCTCTTTGCCACTGATCGTCTCATTAGCCCCTTGGGCAGTCAGTCACGTTTCTGTTATGCACTGTTGGCAGGTGCTGGGTAAGCACTGACTCCTCAATATATCGGAACCTGCTCCAGTGTTGGTCAAGTCTGGCCTTGATTAAGCTCACACTCGGTGCCGTCACAACACTCTCTGGCAGATTGTTCCAAGAGTTCAAAATTCTCACTCCAAAAAAGTTTGCCCTCACAGTTTTCTGGACTTGTGGCTTCTTCAACATTGAGCTGTGACCACTTGTGGGGCTCGTCTGCCAGCTCCAAGTATGTAATTGTACATTCAACCGAGTAATGTCCCCTGAGATGTTTATACATTTCGATTAGGTCGCCACTCGCCCATCTGTAGTATAAGCTAGGTAGTTGCAGGCGTTCTAATCTCTCTGGGTAACTGAGGTTCAGTAGAGCAGGCACCAGTCTGGTGGCCCTCCTTTGGACATTTTCAATCAATTGACAATCTCTAGCATACCTCAGGGACCAGACAGGATGTCAGTACTCCAGACAGGGAAGCACCTCACTTTTGAAGAGCAACGGACCATCCAGATATCTAAACGACCTTCTTATAAGACCTACTAGTTTTGTTGCCTGATTCACCTTCTCACAATGGCCCAACAACTTAACTTCATTGTCGTCATACACACCCAGGTCCTTTTCACACTCGGAGTCAATTACTGCAGTTTCTTCATCCTGTTGAGACATGTGATATGCCTCCTTACTGTTGGTGCAACCCAGGTGCATCCTTTTGCACTTCATGACATTGAATCTTAGCAGCCATTTCTTCAACCATTCTCGAAGCTCATAAAGATCTTTCTGTAGCTCTTCACAGTCTGATTGGTTCTTAATTTCCCTAAATAACTTGGCATTGTCCATAAACATATCATTTATGAAGCAAACAAACAACAACGGACTCAATACTCTGCCCTGTGGTACCCTGCTTGTCACAGGTACACATGACAATTTTGTGCCATTTTATCACCACACACTGTTTGCGGTCATGCAGAAAGTCTCTGATCCACGCTCGGACACTTCCCTGAATCCCGTACTTTTTATGTATACTGTACAGCACTCGGTATGTTATAATTCCAGATTTTTCATCATATTCTGAAACTTTGAGCTCAGTGTGCATGTTTTTATTATAATCATAAAATGATAAACTTTTAACACAATGTTTCTCTTCCCAATACAGTTCACATGTATCCCACACCCAGGAATTTAGATTTTTTTTTTCACTTCACCCAATTGCATAAAGTCAAAAGGAATGTTTGGCAAACCATATTTATTCATGAATATGTTTGGATTATTTTCATTTTGTTTGGAATCCCAGCCAATTAGAACTTTTAATACAAACTGCAGGTACTAATATTGTGTTTCCAGATGAATATGCTGTACATGTACTGTGGCAGACATATAAATTTTTCTTGTTATATGTTCTGTATATAGTTATTGTAATTATGAACCCTATGCAATACATGTATAACGCATATACAATACAGTACAGTGAATACCAACCAGTGAATACAGGTTTTTGGCAGCATGTCTTATCTTGGTACAGGTTTTTGGCAGCATGTGTCTTATTTACGAATAATGTATAGTGATAAATAGCAGGTACAGTAGTTCTTAGATAAATTGGTTATATAGATCAAGAGTAGATCCAGAAAATTAAAAGGTTACAAGAAGACTGAAAGACTAGCAAGCACTGAATGGGGGGAGGGTGAGAAAAATATTGGAAAATTTAGTCTTAAATGGTTCTGTAGAATACTGTACTGTGGGTTTTACCCTCTTAAATGCTATTACTGTACTGTTTTCATGCATTTTGGTACAGTGTATACAGTACCCAGTACAATATGTATACAGTATACTGTATTACAGTACAGTATAGCTTTTTGGGCTGAAAATTGTAATTTTGGTTTACTGTACAAGATAGTACAGTACAGTATTTGTATGGAAGAGGAATTGGTGATTTGCAACTACAGTGGTCCCTCGGTGAACGAACACAATTCGTTCCACACAGTCGTTCGTTAACCAAAAGTTTCGTTAACCGAATCCATTGTTTCAATGGGATATTGGGTAATTGGTTCCAGCTCACAGAAAAGTACATACAAAGTAAAAAAAAAAAAAATGCATTAAAGTACACTTACTTTGAGGTGTGTATGTAGAAGGTTCCTGGTTGATGATGATGATGGGAATTAGAAGTGGGGGTGGAGGAGAAGGGAGAAGAGAAGGAAGTGGGGATGGAGGAGAAATCAACTTTCAGGGACCCATGCTTGATGCAGGAATTTCACCAATAAAATTTTAAGTTCACTCGGTGTAATTCAAGATTAATTTATTTAAATCAATACTGCACTGTGCTATATATTATCAATATGTTAACTAAATTTCAGAATAACCAATAATTTTAATGTAAAAATGCAAAAATATTCAAGACACCAACAGTATCGATGTTCACTCCACTGTAAACAAAGCCAAACTGACGCCTGGTGGGTGAGTCAAGCGGCTGATGGGCGCACAAAAAACTAGTTCCCACTACTGCATATATTATCAATACAGGTGTATGTTAACTAAATTTTAAAATGACTAATAATTTTAATATAAAAAATGCAAAAATATTAAAGAGCACAACTTTCTTGATACTTACTCCACTGGAAACGAATGTAAACATAGAACAGATTACTGAATTGGCAGACTAGCCCATCAGCTCATCAGCTGATGCTCACAACAAAACGTGTTTGTCGTAAGGATTTCGTTAATCGAAGTTTTGTTCGTTAACCAAATTGAAGATCCTTATGGGTGGTAATTCGTAAACCGAAAGTTCGTTAATCGAACCGTTCGTTAACCGAGGGACCACTGTACTGTATTCTGTGTTGGTGTATATTGATACAATACATTCATTTATATCATTTCACATTAGATTTAAATTGTTTATGTATTTACTGTTTTTATACTGTACAGTGAAAAAATCTGGCATTAAAGAATAGTGTAAGGATGAAAAATAAAATTTCAGGTTGGTTCAGCTTTTACCCACATCCTGAGCATGAGGGCTACACAAGTTTAGTGGGACTCATAGATCACTGTATGAGTCATTCTGAGTCGGGCGTCTTTTGTTATTCCCGAGCTCGTGTACCAGGATCACCATCTTTTCCAGTGCGACTTACCAAACCTGTTTCCAGGTTCACTCAGGTTAGTAGATCTTGTGTGAATCACATCTCACAAATTGTGTACACATATCCAGATTATATACTGTATATATAAACAGATTTCCTCCTTTGTAGGAAACAGGTGTGTTCATGCAAAGTATTACCTATCGTACATATATCATTATCAGTATTCCGTAAGTGTATTTAGATCACCCAATACAATATGCCTTTTAATATCCTTTTTTGTTGCTGATAGTTAGTTCTATTATTGAGTGATGTTTACCAATGTTAATTAATCTTACAGGTGCGATCTCTACAATACCTATGCCGGTTTGTGATTAGACAATACACCCGTGTGGACCACATTCAAGCCTTGCCTCTTCCAACACGAATAAAAGGCTACCTAGAAGAGGGACATTACTGACCCAGATACTAGTATCTCACCAGAGTGGTTTCTTTTCAATGGCATTTGTGTTTTTCTTTCAGTAAAAATTCTTTTATGGATTTTATCATTTTAAATTAATTTTATTGCATGTTTATGCCAGGTATACAAACAAAAATATGGAATGATATGGTTTGACTTCATTAGTTTTTTTTTTTTTTGTATATGATAAATACATTGTGGCAGATTGAGTCACTATCCTGGTACTGTAGTGTACAGTATTTTAAATAAAAGAACACATTAAAATTTCAAAGTTCTTATGGTACTTTTCATTTGGTGACACATATGTTCTCTTGGCTATAGCAACTCTATAAAGCGAAGCTTACTGTACCACAATTGTTTAATTTTTATTTTTTAAAGGTTTTAACAATTCAGTAAAAGCAAAAATCTTCCTAAAAAGATACTGTATTGAACAGTGGTTCTGAACATACCTAATAAGAATGTTTCCCGTGTTCACTGAAGTACCACTCAGTGTATTCATTTATGGTTATCATATAAATACCCATATTATTCTCTTCTATTCATTATGGTAACTAATTTTTCACTCAGCATGTTCTTGGACTGAACATACAGATTTGACTATTATGAAGTGTAGCTTTAAACTGAGTCTGGTGATTCTAACACATTCCCAAGCTATTAATTTTGTTATTAAAAAGAGCCATATTTAATTTAAAAAAGAAAATTAATCTCATTATTAAGTTGTTTCATGATTGGATATGTTAAATGAATTTGAAATTAAAAAGTATTCGGTTAGGGTGTTTGGAATATTTACTGAATCAGCTGGGGATATGACTAGGATCAACTTTTTTCAGTATTTGTCATGCTGACTTGCCTAGATCTGACTATGAATGTGTATTAAATAATGTAATCGCTGCTAAATATTTCTTATAACCGGCTGCAGGTTGACAGTCTTAGACACATGCCTTCATCAGTGATATTACTGAGTTTTAAATTTTATTTCCCCATATAAATGATCAGCAGTGTGTTGTTGTATAGTACATTTCTGTCTAGTGGGTAGGAGCAGTGTAAACAGTTAGTAGGCAACTGACAGCTATGTTAAATAAACTGGTAAAGGCAAAGAACCACTGTAAGGTTGCCAAATAGCAGCTGAATGTGTCATAGTCATGAACACAAAATTAGACAGCCAGTGTGTGTGATTGGCGTCAAATGGCCACAGGCTGTGACGCCAGATATTTTACCCAATCAATCGGTCAGTGTGTGTGTGTGAAATATTTTGAAGATTCTCAGATATTGTTCAAGGTCTAAAATTACCCCAGTCACAATATTAATTTGTTTATGAAGGCAATCTATTTTTTTAATTACTGATTATTACATTAGTTTCATAACAAGTTGCAATATTGATCGCTAAATACATTTACCATTAACTACAGTACTGTAAATGTAAAAAAAAAATCAAATTAGTTTTTCCTACATTTTTTATTTGGAATTAACAGTGTGCCATACCTGTATAGGATATATAATTCATTAAATTCAGTTTTGATTTAAAATTTCATCATATCCATCACATTTTGGGGGACTGAAGACTGTCACTCAGAGAGTTTTATTTATTTTATATTAATAATGTATCATATTCTATGATAATATAAGCTGTTTTGTCATGAAAAATAAATTTATTGTTATATAACAAAAAGAAATGGGAGCTTTCATACAGAACCAAATAGAGAATATGTTTCATTGTTAAGTTTTCATAATTGTCAAAGGTGATATACTGTATATCTTGTTTCCCAGTGAGTGTGTGTGGTAGTGAGGAGCAACAGTTATAATAACTTGATAAGACATGTTGATTGGTCCATGAATACTTGACAAGACCTGCCCGGTTGCAGGATGAAGCACAGGTTTGGAAGTCAGTGCACTACGAACGTAGTATGTTGAACTTCTTCCTCATTCTTATGTATATTTAATATTGAAAAGTTATATAAAGAACACTGAAGGAGTCTGTCTTTGAGGGTATTCATATACTGTATACTCTTACAAAATGCATGTATTTTTTTTTATTAACTTACAATGTATGTGGGTTTTTTTCCACATTGCCTGTTGTAAAATTTATAATTTTAACAGGTCAGCTAAGTCAGCTTGCAACCTTATAGGCTAAAGATTAGTTAGTACAAGGCTCAGGGTGGTTGTGACTTCTCTGTGTACAATACAGCATATAACATAAGTTGTTTGGTCTGTATTGTAAGGTATGAACATGCATAATTATAAAAGAATCTGGAAAATTGTGCATGCACCACCTTGCTTTAAGTATGGGAAACAGCTCTTTTTATATTGGTACTGTACAGTAGTCGTTCTCTTAACTTAAGGTGGTACTGTATTACACTGGTCTATGTAATAGGAACTGCCAGAATCAACCCAGACCTTTTTATATTGTGATTCTTTTATCTTTAGCTGTTTAAAAATCAAAAAGTACAGTATATCCCAGATGTTGAACTAATAGTTGTTATACTTTATTGTTAATGCATGGTGATTGAAGAGGCTTTAGTACTATTTTTTAAATTAAGGTAACAAACAGATGATTTCTATTTACACAGTTTATATATATATATATATATATATATATATATATATATATATATATATATATATATATATATATATATATATATATATATATATATATATATATATATATATATATATATATATATATATATATATATATATATATATATACACATTTTTTTTCCCACACATTTGGATTATTCAACAAGTTACTTACAAAATTGCCCAACTAGAACACCCTCTGGCAAAACATATCTTGTCCAAGGGGTTATCATTATTCAAATGGCAGGTGCACAGTCCCTTTGCATTGTGAAATTGCTGCAGAGGAACAACTTCCCCACGAATCTCAAACTTTATAGCTATAAATATTATGATCTTCGTCACCCCCAAACCAACTTGGAATTTCACAGTTTATGTATTGAATCAAGAATTTAAGTATGAAATCCCATTTTATGGCCGATGGGAAGAAACAAGGTCTAGTTTCCTGATGAGCAGTAAAATACATACTGTACTTCTGAAGTATGAAATTTATTTGGCTGTTGTGTTGAAGACGAGTGTGAACCAGTTTCAGGGTTAGTTCCAGTATACTTTATGGCTTGCTACAATCACTGATTCAGTATTGAAGCTTGGTTCGTAAGTAGCTACTTGGCAGCAGTTTACATGTGTTCTTTGCTTCTAGAAGATAGTTTTCTGGAAAGGCAGGCTCTGTTAGGGGAGGTTCTAGTAAGGGCAACTCATAGGTCAGCCAAAAATGTGATTATATATTACTGTACAACCCTTGATGTAATTACTGTACAAAAAAAAATCTTCTAAATTATGAGTATATAGTTAAAATATACTTATGATTACCATGGATGGAAAGAAGATAGGTAATGGAGCTGTAGGGAAAAGAAAGATTCAAAAAGATTTAAAAATGAAAAGATGAAGAGAGTAATCAGAGATTTGGAGGAAGGGCATGTACAAGTGCTTTTTTGTTGCACTTCAATGTTATTACCATAGAACTACTATATAGAGACTTATTTAAAAGGTCTGCAGGAGGGTAAAGTTAAGAGAGGATGATGATTAATATACAGTACAGTATTGTAGTGAGTTGAACAAGGAGGTTGCATGGATGGATGTGGAATGGGGATTTTCCTTTGTAATACAGTAATTAGGAAACACCAGAAGAATTATTGTATGTGTAGCATTTTTTGACAAAAGGAAAACTTTCTTACTGGGTATTATAAATAATAAGGAAAGTTTGTCAAGATTTAATATCTAATTGTGATGGAGGATACTGTAGTTACCAGGACATTGCTTTCATCTAAACTATAAACAGTAAGGGACTGGATTAAAAAATGGGAAAAAAAGACGAGTGCAATATGCATATTTTCAATGCGTATAATGGTGCAGTGGTAAGAGAGCCTGTCAGTAAAAGTGGTGAAGTCCTTAAAATGTACATTAAGTAGTATAGAAAAAAGGACAGATTTGAAGTCCATGAGATACTGCTTGGTAAAGAAAATTAGTTGATACTACCATGATTAGGCAAATAATTTTTATGTAATGGTGGAAGAATTTGGAATGATTTGAGAAAAAGGTTGAATATGAATGCCAAAAATAAATGAGGTAACCATCTTATGAGCAACATGGACTGATGAAGAAAATAAATACTGTAGTGTGACTATCAGCAAGGATGATAAATGGTAAAATGTCAGTACAGTACAGTATTGCAGAGTTGAAAGGTAAACAAATTGATAGAACTGTAAGATGGATAATGAAAAGGAAGATATCAGTGGTGAGATTTGTTTAAGGACTCTTTGTTGGAAAGAAACTGGGATGCAGTTTTCAATAAGTGAATGAGGGTGAAGGGAATGGACAGAGCAAAGGACTACTGATGTGGTGTGGACATGAGAGAATGTGTATGGCAACGAGTAAGTAGTGGAAGAATATCAGTTTTAAAGTGAATGAGGAGATAAATTCCTTGTGATGGGTACCTTGCAAAAATTAGTAAAGATAAAAGTACTGTACATGAAGGAGAGAAAGCTGGATCATGAGAGTGTTGAGTAGATATTCATAGGTGAGTATGAACATGATATTTTGGGAGTTAGGAAAAAATAATTTTACTCCCCAACCCTAAATGGCCATGAAACAACATAAAAGGTGCTGCCATATTGTATGGTATATGTATTGTAGACAAATTTCCTTCACAATTTTTTGGCTATATTTTCATAGTTAAAGAGCTGAAGTTAGGTTTACAGGGCATTCTAGAATGTAGGTGAGATACTGTAGTGATCTTTGTTTATGTCTGAAAGGCATCGAAATTTATAATCCTTTTAGGTATGAACCCAGTGTTGTTCCTTGACCATGTTTTGTATGAAGATGTATATGTACAGTACAGTTGCAGCTGGACGGGGAGGAGTGTATAGGGGATAAAGGTCCTTAGCCCAAATGGATGCTCCCTAGACAGGGGCTTTAATTTGTGAGACTAGTGTTCACCATTTAGCTGATGCCTTCCTGAAATAATCAGTGATGTTTACGTTGACAAAAAAATTTCAAAACTGCTTTTGAGAATATGGTGAAATTGACAACTTTGCCATGTATTAGAATTGTGACTAAAAGAGCAAGTTAACTATTACTAAAATCAGTTTTTCAATCATCCAAATTGACCACAATTACAGCTTTAATAAAACTTTTCATTTATTTTTTTCCTTTTTAACCCCCAAGCATGGGCTACAGTTGGCATAACCCCTCTCCCTCCACACGGGTATATTTGGAAAATTTTTAAAAACAATTATAATTCTACAAACTTGTCATGCATGATGCAAAAAGTAAAGAATTACATGTTCTTACCACAGGTTAGCATCACAGGGGCTTGGAAGAGTCAAGAATGCATGTAAAGTTGCATGTGTGTGTGTGTGTGAGGTTGACAGTAGGCAGTATGAGACAGGACACTTGCTATATTACGTTTTTATTATTATTGTATTTGCAATTGTTATTATTGCCCCCATTAATTGATCACAAATCTGTCGAAAGAAGAGACCCCTACAACACTTGTGATTGGGGGAAGTCTTGCATATGTGAGCAAGTGAAAGATAAATGCCTACTTGGCAACATAATATAGCAAGGACCTTGTAACATTTCAAACAGTATTGTACCACAAAATTAGAAAATATCATATGACATGAACCAAAGGCTAGGGATTAATGTTTAGTGATGAAGTATGACATTACCACTGCAAAGCAAGTTGAGGCATATAAAGGGTTTGTGTGTTCTAAGAAGCAATTATATGTGATTTTTTATATGGATCTCTGAATTACTAATATTGTATTGTATTGTTTTAGGTTTTCAGTATTGTAAAACCCATTGTCCCTCAAAATTTGTAGCTGATTGAAAATACTACTCAGGAGTTTTGCTCTTTGGAATTTAAAAGTGGATGTTCAACTTGAGTTTTGGGTATTTGCTGCTGTTCCAAATGCTTGTCCATGTTTTCTAATGTGATGCCAGCTTAAGCCAGGCACTTAATATCTAACTTTAGTTATCAAGCTTTATAAACAAATGGAAATTTCAGATTTGATGTGTATAGAGGTGTCCTCTGATGTGATGGTCTGTACCTGGAAGTTGATATATATTTTCTTCTTCTGTGTTAAATTCTTATGAATGTTAAGATTACTAAGCCAGTAAGATATGTGTTCAGTATTAAGTAAAAGTGAATTAAGTATATGGAAGACAATCTGGATGAATGAAAAGTGTTTGTCATGTATATAATCAGATTTATTAAACCTGTGATCCATATATTTGTGACGCGAGATTAGCAAAGCTATGCATGTCATATTCATCATTAAGGTTAATTTTTATCTTGTATTGTAAAATGCACCTTATTGATAAAGACTCACTGTATTGTGATCTCAGTCTCATATTTTACTATGAAAGTTATATGATTCTGTATAGAGAGAATATAATTATATACTGTAGTTGTAGATATTTTGGAAGCTCCATCATATACCAGTAATCGTAGAAGTCATATAGAACAGCATAAATCAGAGATTGCTCAATTTAGCTTGCTTAAACTAGATCAATGCCATACACAGTCTTTAGGTATGTTTGTTTAATTTAATTTTTTTTTTATTATTATTTGTTTTGTAATTATTGTCTTTGGAGCTGACCAGGCTTGGCTGGAAGGAAGTGAAAAGTCACTCTTAAATATATCAATGCTTTTGTTTTATGATAAGGCTTTGGCATTGCCTAAAGTTAAACTCTCATCATTTATGCTGGATGAATATGATAATGCTCTAATGTCGATTAGGTCATAGTACTTGGCCTGTGTGTTCCAGCCATTTTAAGTAGGAGACCAGGGCATGTACCAAGTAATTTCTGTGTTTGATCAAATACAGTATAGCTAACCAGGTTGCAGCTCTTGGGTTACTTTAAGCCTTTCATGGCATCTTCAAAATCTTGATAGTGTAGATATTGCTGTGAACAACTTGGTTTGAATGCTCATGCTTGTTATCACTTGAAATGAGCCTTGTATTGGCATTTAATGTAGAGCCTTGAAGGTGTACAGTTGAAGGCTTTCCTCTATGTTGTAAACTTGAATGATTTAGACACCATTTAGAAAATGGGAAACTGTGCATTTTATAATAAATCCTATATTCATCCTGCCCTTAACTTTTCATAATTTTATATACAGTATATTGAATGTACACTATCCCATTATCTTTAAAAGTATATTTTGTATATTTGCTAAACAAGTCACATGATATTTGTAAAAAAATTTTGCTTACCAAGACAAAAATAGTAACCTGCAGATAACATATGAATACATGTACAGTGGTCCCTAGGTTAACAAACACAATTTGTTCTAGAAGGTCGTTCCTTAAACAAAAATTTCGTTAACCGAAACCATTGTTTCAATGGGATTTTGGGTAATTGGTTCCAGCTCACTGAAAATTACATACAAAGTAAAAATAAATGCAGCAAAGTACTCTTACTTTGAGGTGTGTATGTAGAAGGCTCCTGGTTGATGATGATGATGATGATGATGATGGGAATTAGAAGTGGGGGTGGAGGAGAAGGGAGAAGAGAAGGAAGTGGGGGTGGAAGAGAAATCACTCCATGCTTCATGCCGTCATTTCACCTAAAAAATTTTAAGTTCACTAGGTGTAATTCAAGATTATTTTCTTTAAATCAACACTGCACTGCACAATATATTGTCAATATGTAAAATAAATTTCAAAATGACCAATAATTGTACTGTAAAAATGGTTTATGTTCAAGAGAGCCACAAGCAAGATGTTACCTCCACTGACCAGAGATACAAACTGACGCTTTGGTGGGTAAGTTAAGTGGCTGATTGGCGCACCAAAAACTAGTTTCCTGTACTCCAATTATGTTAAATAAGTGTTAAAATGACTAAAAATTTTAATATAAATCTTGGAAAATTATTGAATAGTACAACCTTCTTGATATTTACTCAAATGGGAATGAAATAAGCCCTAGAACTGATTACTGTATTGGTGGACTAATATTCCAGCTGGTGAGCAAGCGAAAACATGTTGACATGATTTCGTAAGAATTTTGTTAACCGAAAAGAAGATTCTTATGTTAGGTAATTCGTTAACCGAGGGATCACTGTACGTAACTCTATACATTACATATTTTTGGACAAAAGTTATACAGTTGAGTAGGAGCATACATGTGATCTAGGATAGTTTCATTAGCACTTGATTTCTGTCTGACGTGTGCAAGGTAATTGGCTAGTTTTAGGTCCTGACCCTGTGGTGAACATTGATACAATAATTAATATTGATTTAATATCATTTGAACAAATTCATATCAGATTATTAAATATATGTCAATCTTATGTGTTTATAGCAATCTATTCCCCCATCATAAGTGGAACTTATCATTATGGCTGGAATGACTTATTTCTGAGGATGGAAATAGCCAAAATTACCAAAGTTTGCGTAGTACAGTACAGTATAACAAAACTAGGATAATTCTTAATCATGAATGCAAACTCCTTTATTGGCACAAGTATCTGAAAGTTGACTCCCATATAAAATAACTTCTATATCTGAAGTCCACCCATCTTTAGACAAATATGACAACCATTTCTCATTGATGTACATATCACTGAATATAGTCTGTTTACTTGAAGCTTGCAACTGAGGCCTATGGTCTGTTTGTAAAAAGGCAGCTGATTGGTTGGCAGAAATTAATCTATTGTGTTTACATTATGATATTGTAAGGGATAATCTTTCTCTGTTGACCGCAGATAATTTCCACACTTGGGGAAGCAAATATTAACATTCAAAATGCACTGGCAATAAAAATATCAGAGAGAACATGATGAACAAATTGTGTAAATGCCTCGCTGTGTGATGTCCGTAGTGTGGTGGAGGATGTCACTAAAATTTTGTGCTCTTTCTCATAAAGATATTTTCTGTATGTTGCCAGAGCATTTCACATGCTAATTTTTGCTTCCCCAAGTGCAGTAATCATTAGAAATAACACAAGGATAATTATCTCTTAAGATAACATAATATAAATTAGATATATTAAATACAGTACCAAAGTACTGTAGTGATTCTTGGGGTGTCTGTCTACCAGCCGATCAGATGCCTTGCTACAGACTGACCCTAGGCCTGTGTTGCAAGCTTCAAGTGAACAGACTCTAGAGGGGTTGCACGTGTTATAGATCTGTTTATGGTTTGTTATGGATGGCAGATTAAAATGCCTATAACAGTCTGATATCTTTTTACCTAATGCAAATAAAAAATATTTCATCTTCACCATTCTCTTGGGTGTACAAACATACGAAGGACCACCATTCATCTCACAAGTACATGGTATTGACTCTCTTAACTTTCCTGTTCTTTCATGATTTGCCAGTGACTCCCCTTGCAAAGCAAGCATGAAGTGACAAGAGTACTTTGATAACTAAAAAACAACCAAAGCCTATTTTTAGGAGGTAAAAGTGGAAGTACTCTAATTGAGTTGGATAACTATATCAGCAGAAGAAAGCTGCCGACTCCTTAAAAATTGTCAAAAGCATTCTAAAGCCACACTCCACATTGAGACACCAACCATGAACACAGCTAATGTCTATACTCTTGTAACGTACTTACAAAAAAAAAATAATCACTACCACCACACCAAGAACACATCAGTGCATGGAGTGACCAAACTTACAAACCCATACTTGACTCTTGGTAAACACTCTAAATTTGAAACTGGATTCTTGAGTTATGTACTTTGGATTTTTGGGTGTCAACTACCTATACCTATTCACATAATTTTAATTTTATTTACTTTATGCAAAGATAAGGTACATTAATATCTTTCAAATATGCAATGCTCATCTTTTAGAGTACAGTACATGTTTTCTTATGGGATTAATAATTTAATTTTCTGCATTTTTGCTTAAAATTTTACTTTTCTGGAAAGTATCATGTTAACCAAGGAATACTGTACTTATAGACACTTATTAGTTACAGTAGTACTGTAATATCAGCACTTAAATACTTCCTTATAACTTTGCACAACTTAACTAAATACAGTAATTACCGGGTACTACCCCCTTCCCTAGTAGCCAGAGCAAATGAAGGCCTGGCACTCGGACAGATACTTCTCCCGTGGCTGTGGATGTGGCTATTAGGGAAGGGGGTAATGATTACAGCTTCTAACAGTACATATACTGTACTGTATAAATTGTAGATAAGGACTAAACTACAGTTTAAAATTTCATATAACATATCTTTGTTGTTTTACATACCTCAGTGAAAAGTTGGATAATGCTTACTCATGTGCAGTACTTTGGATGGTCCTTGGATATGTCATCCCCACTGGAGAAGAATACTTGTACTGTACATGTGAATGTTGCGAAGTTGTAAAGTAGGAAACTTGTGTGCTGGCAGGTTTTCAGATTATATTATCTAACTTCTCATGAAAGGCTTTGTTTAGAATCAAGGGAAACTGCTTTGTCACTGATGATCTATCCACTGAAGCGACCCTGCTGGTTAAGAAAGTGGTAATGGCCAAAATAATGAAGACAGAAATAACACCAGTAAATGCTAAATAGACTAGTATGACCCCCTCCCTCACCCCAACTTCTCAAATATCAAGGAACATAATTTTTTTTTCCATTAGCCATTAATACAAACCATATATTTAATAGCACTAATTCTAAAGTCAACATAACTCTCTCTATGTCACATCTTTGAAAACACAAAAAAATTCTTAGCTGGTTACGAATGGGTTCCGTTCCTGAGGACGTTCTTAAGTTGGAAAGCGTATGTTTTTACAGAACAATATTTAAAATCCCACTATATCATAGCCTAAGTCCTTATATACATCTAAAATCACTTAATTTAATACAAAAGAAATATAATGACAAAATACAGTTAATGAAAGTAAAAAAATAAGTCATCAGGTAAATAAAATACAAGTACAGTACGGGTACTGTAAATTTCCAGTTTGTATCAGCAGGCATTAGTAAGTTGGGGACCCCCTGTATAATTATATAAATTAAAAAAGTTAACTGCATACTACATCACCCTCAAATTTCATATTCTACTACAATTACCACATTTGAGCAAATGATTGGGTCTTGAAAAGAAAAAATCCTACCCGGTAAGTTTTGACCATATTTAATTTAATTTCTCACATTGCTGCTCATTTCGTGAGCGCCTAATAGTTAAAATACACAGTACCCAAAATCAAACATATGTTTATTTCAAGAATATTTTTCATGCATATAGTCTTGGTAATTCCCTTACAAATTTCAGTTGTTACTAAACTTGAAATTGTTTAGTACAGAAAGTCCTCTTTAGATACCCATGATTCGGATAACGTCCTGCCGATTCAGTATAATGTCGTCACGGACTACTTTGTACGGTTCATCACCCTCTCATCTTGGCACGCCATGCTCTCACTCTCGGAACATCACAGCGTCGCCAGTCTTTGTTAGGCTTCCACAGCGTTCGTATGTGTTTAAGTTTTTTGCTCTTAATACTGTATTCTAACCATTCGAAATGGCTTCCAAGCGCCCATCAAGTGCTACTGATGCTAGTGTTGTGAAGAAGCAACGTAAGACCATTAGCCTTGCTACGAAAATGGAGGTTTTAAATCGTTTTGAGAAAGGCAATCGTGCGGTGGACATTGCTGCTGTGCTAGGTCTAACCCCCCACAACAGCGCGTACTATCTGGACCAGCACGGACAAGATTAAGGCTAGTGCTGGAAGTGGCACTTCTCTGAGTGCAACAAGGACCAAGTTGTGCTCAAAGTTCCGTGATTGAAAAGATGCTGGCTAAGTGGATGGAGGACCAGAATCAACGCAATGCCCCTGTAAGCCTTATGGTTATCCAGCATAAAGCAAAATCCTTGTTTGACGACTTAAAGGCAGTAGAGGGTGAAAGATCAAAGGATGAGACCTTTACGGCCAGCCGAGGATGGTTTCAATGTTTTAAGCATCGTTATAACTTCCATAATATTAGGATGACTGGTGAAGCTGCTAGTTCAGATATGATTGCTACCGAGATATTCCTGCCGGAGTTCAAAATCATTATCGAGGAAGGAGGCTACTCAGCGAAGCAAGTCTTCAATGTGGATGAGACTGATCTCTTTTGGAAGAGGATGCCCAAAAGAATCTATATCTCCAAGGAAGAAAAAAAAGCACCAGGTTTTAAAGCGGCAAAAGACCGCTTGACACTGCTGGCGACTTCAAGCTGAAGCCTATGTTAATTTCTATCGTTGCCAACCCACGTGATCTGAAAGGTTACTCTAAGGATCACCTTCCTGTCATCTACAAGGCAAATAAGAAGGCATGGATATCCAGCGCCATATTTAGCCAGTGGTTAAATGTGTACGCCATCCCTGCACCGAAGGATTATTGTGCCAAGGAGAACCTGGACTTCAAAAATTCTTGTAATTGACAATGCTCCAGTGCATCCTCCTAGTTTCGACGATTTACATGACAATGTTTGAGTTGTATTCCTGTCTCCCAGCACGACAGCACTGATGCAGCCTATGGACCAAGGTGTTATCGCCACATTCAAGGCGTATTATGTACAGTGTACCATGGCCCAGCTGCTCAAGGCTACTGACGGAGAAAATAAACCTACGATCCGAGAATAATGGCACGGCTTCAACATTCTTCATGCAATCGACAACATGGGCAAGGCATGGGAAGAAGTTTCAGAAAGTTGCGTGAATGGTGTGTGGCATAAATTATGGCCCGAGCGTGTGAACAGTTTTACAGGATTCACGGACTTAGTCCCATCTGCGAATAGGGATATCCTCAGCTTGGCTAGACAGGCAGGCTTTCATAAGTTGGAGTCCGAGGATATTGAGCAAGTCCTGGCATCCCATACAGAAAAGCTTACTAATGAAGATCTGCAACTGCTAACAGAACACAGTGCCGCTCAAGACGATGACGACGAAGAAGAACCACAACGAACGCTAACTAACAAGAGGATGGCAGAAGCATTCAACATGATCCAGCAAGCAATGCAAATCTTCATTGATGACAACCCAAACAGAAAACGTAGCTCAAAGATTGTACACAACATGGAAGAAACTCTTAGTTGCTATAATGAGATCTACAAGGAGAAAATGCAGAGCAGCACTAAGCAGTCAACGCCGGATTCTTTTTTTGTCGCCGGTAGGCAGAAGCAGCATCTTCACAACAGCCTGCAAGCAAGGAGGAGCAAACAGCAGCGGAGGAACACCAGTCAGAGCAGGAGGTGGAGCCACCCTCCTCCTCCGCTCCACTACCCACCACACACTCACTCCACCACATCCATCCATCAGTGAGTACAATACAAAATGATTCAGTACTAAAATAAGAAAAATAAGCTGTTCTATGATATATACAAACAAAATATTAAGTTTTCTTTCCCATGTAATGTTCACTCATTTGGTTTTGTTTTATTCTTAGTTTTAATTGCATCAGCTAGTTTTTCAGGGAGAGTAAATGCTTCTGTTTTTGTTGCTAGAAGGCTTCTCTGCTCTTCCTTGATTTTTGAGCTAGTTCCTCACTTTGTTTTCTTTGATTCTAAATGTTTCTTTAACAAAAATTTCCTCTTATTTTCTTCCTGCTTTAACATGCTTCTATACCTACTGCTGGAGAGTTTTAAGTTCCTACACATAATAGGGTCCCCCTGGGGAACACACACACATGCCCTACAGCCCTGACCTCCTGGGAACACACATGCCCTACAGCCTTGACCTCCTTCGGGACACACACAATGCCCTACAGCCCTGACCTCTTGGGGGACACACATGCCTTACAGCCCTGACCTCCTGGGGTACACACATGCCTTACAACCCTGACCTCCTGGGGGGCACAGACATGCCCTACAGCCCTGACCTCCTGGAGACACAAACATGCCCTACTGAATTGCCTATACAACTGTGAAATATGACATGGGTTATAAAATAAATTGTGATCAGAAAGTAAAATGAGTATAGAAACTTAGTTATATTGAAAAATACTTGGCCCCTCCCCTGCCAGTGGTGGTGGAGGAGGGTGGATCAAATGGATTGATAGGGTGGAGGGGCATATTAAAATGTTTCTAATAGTGGCATTGTATTTGTCATTGACCTTTGGTCAATGAAATACTACAGAATCGAAGAATAGAATGCAAACCAAACAATATTCAGCTAATGAGAAATACTGTAGAGTATATGATGTAATGCATGAACATGTACTGTAGTGTGTGGCCACTATACTCAGTATACCGGCTCATCGTCCTAGTGCGGCAAACCCATCGACCCTGGAGGTTCAATTAATTATTGTTATTTATTGTCAAACATTTCTCTCATGGTCATACCACGCCCTCCCCCAATATATATACAGTGGTCCCTCGGTTAACAAACAATTCGTTCCAGAAGGTCGTTCGTTAACCGAAACCATTGTTTCAATGGGATTTTGGGAAATTGGTTCCAGCTCACCGAAAATTACAAACTAAAAATAAATGCAGTAAAGTACACTTACTTTGAGGTGTGTATGTAGAAGGCCCCTGGTTGATGATGATGATGATGATGATTAGAATGGGGGTGGAGATGGGAGAAGAGAAGTCACCCCATGCTTATGTAGCCATTTCACCCATAAAATTTTAGTTCACTTTATGTAATTCAAGATTATTTTCTTTAAATCAACACTGCACTGCATTATATATTGTCAATATGTAAAATAAACTTCAGAATGACCAATAATTGTACTGTAAAAATGTAAATATAGTTGATGTTCAAGAGTCTCAAGCAAGATGCTTCCTCCACTGAGCAGGGACACAAACTGACGCCATTCTGGGCGAGTCAAGTGGCTGTTTGGCACGCTAAGAACTAGTTCCCTGTACTTCAATTATGTTAAATAATTGTTAAAATGACTAAAGATTTGGAAAATTATTGAAGAGTACAACTTTCTTGATATTTCCTCAAATGGTAACGAATTTAAGCCCTAAAACTGATTACTGTATTGGCGGACTAATACTACAGCTGGTGAGCAGCCGAAAGCAGACGAAAACATGTTGGGAAAAATTCGTAAGGAATTCGTTAACCGAGGGACCACTGTGTGTGTGTGTGTGTGTGTGTATGTATATATGTATGTATGTATATATATATATATATATAATCACATCCCCATTGGAAAACTATTCTGACACTATTAATGCTAATTTCAGCCCCTGGGAAGTTGTATGCACATTCCCACACAAATGTTACATTATTCAGCAAGGGCTGATAAAAATGCACTGCACCGCACTCACACATATCTGTGAAAAGCATTCATAACTTGATTAGCTGACCAGTAATCAGTTTACATCACTTTCGTTCACCGAATGGACAGCTCAGAGAAAGACATGAGCATTAAGTGTTGCATGGTCTCCCACAATTTTAAATAATTCTATAGATTTCAGCCATTCTTGCAATATAAATAAAAAAAATGAGTGTTATACTAAGTGTTCTTAAGGGTAAACTGCACTGTAAGCAAAGTACGAGACATGCTAACATTTTAATATAAAAGCTATGAAATGAGTAATCATGGTGTCTGTAGAAAGAGCACATTTTTCAGATACAGTAATCCTCTTTTGAGCAAAAAACATTTGGTTATAAAAATAAACCTGGATGGTACATATTTTATTTTGTGGATTTCCTGAATAAAAAGAACATATACATATGGAAGTATTTACAACATTAGGATGTTTTATGGAAAAAGATTTCTGAACATGGTTACTAAATTCAAAGAAATGTCAACCTATAAAAGACTGCAGATGCAGTTCACCTTATGCCTCAGCAACTTCCTTTGCTACATAACCAGGCTGTTCCTCAGGAGTGTGTGGCCACAGGGTTGGGTTCTCCAAGTTGATTGCCTGAAAAGTCACAAATTTGTAGGCAACAGCTTCTCACATATACAGTAAAGGATTTACCCTGGAAATCCAATTTCATGGGCATGTTGGTTAAAGGAAACTCGTGCATTACACCCAAAAAGTATTTGGATTCCATCCCATACTAATTTCTAATACTGATGGCTGGCATTTAAAAGGTAATTAGTACAACTTTTGCATTGTAACTAACCCTTCAAAGGTGGTCTGGGAGAAGCTAAAGTTTCAACGCTACAAAGCTTGCACAACATATTCCTCACTTCCGGTTACCTCGGTAAATAAATCTACTATTTCTTTAACTTCTGGGCAAAAGCTTAAACACAGTCACTTGGAAGCAATGTTGTTCTTTGACTATACAGTACTTAGGATCAAATGGACAACTTATCACATTCCTCAAGATTGGAAATTCACAAAATTCATATCCCCTTCCCCCAATTTAGCTGGAATTTACTTTACTACACCCCATTACCCTGAAAATATCTCTTCTCATACAGAGATTTTTATTTTACTCCCCACAGAAAGAGTGCCAAACAATAAAATCTGATTCAAGTGAATATGCTTGTGTTGTGTGTCAAAGCCATCCACCACTGATTAAAGTGAAAGTGGATCCAATAAGCCTGATGGCCCTTTAAAAGTAATGCAGATAAAACACATTGAAACCAATGCCCCTGGAACAAAAGCCAGCAATGCACTCTACAGCATTTCACTCCTAAATTGTAAAGCTAGGTACTCAATCTGCAGCTGGGGCCCCTCACTCAGTGACTTCCTTTGTGCGTAAGGTGGTGACTCAGGTTGGGAGAAATGTATCCACTCAGCTGAAGTGAGTGCACCAAAGTCAATGATAATTGGAGAGAAATCTAGGAATTGATTTTGAGAAATAGCAACTTTCGGTTTATGCTAATAATAATCCTACACCATACCATTAATTCGAATAAAAATATTGTTACCTTGTCAGGAAACTGTTCCACAAATTCCTCCAAGGTCATCTGGTTGAATGGAATCATCTTTTCCCATTGAACAAGTTCTTCTTTCAGCTTGGCAATACGAGCTTCACTTTCTTTGATGAAGACTTCAACTTCAGCTGCCTGGTAAAAGTAGTAAAAACTGAAAATGAAACTCCAAACATAAGACTTGTGCTTACAAAAATCAAGACCTCTCAATCACAAGGTCCCAATAATCAGTTTCTTCCACTTTAACTTAAATACTCTACTGAAAAAAGTGATGAACTAGGCCTCTATCCTGGATAAGATAGAGAAAAAAGGCAAGTTTGATTGAATGTGCAAGTCTAATCGATTAGGGTAATTACGGAATTTTCCATATGTTTTGAAAATGAAGGACCCCATGGATTATAGGCAAGGGGATCATTTCATAAGATTTTAAGGAAATATTTAATGTGCTCAGCACATGCCAGTACAATATTTAAATTCACAACTATAAATTTTCCTAGACAGAACACAGATGAATAGTACGGTACTGTATATAATGTACTGTGAATATTACATTACCAAAGTGTTTTCCAATGTGCAGCCTCAATACTTAACCCTTAAAGGGCAGCGGACATCATATGACATTTGAGAGAAAAATGCGTAAGGGTGGTGGACATCATATGATTGTGTTTTTCGTGCCAATGTTTGGGTGCGTTTGTAACTATGCTGTTGTCTGGTTACTATGATGACATTGGTGGTTCACTCTAGAACCAGAAAAACATGTGCTACTCCTTGTTCAACTCGTGATTTCTCGTATTTATTGACTAAACGTGAATTTGTAGAAAAAAGGTACAGCTTTCAAATGTTGCAAAAAATAATTACAACAATTATCTCAATTCGGGTGTGTTCTACAAGTACGTATTTGAACAACATTATCTTAAAAGAAATTTGCCCCATTTTCTACATTGCAAAATATTGTATCCCCCATCCTGGGCAGAGAGTGCACGTATATATATCCGCCCTTTAACTTATAAAGCCAGGGCCACGTTCCTCTACATTCACGAAGGTGACCCCGGGTGACATTCCTAAATGTTCTTAAGTTTTGCGGCATCTTTGAATGTCCAGGCGGGACGAAATACTCTGCGTGGGATATTTATTTGCTTATCAACTTGAGTCAAACAATCTTTGTCTCGAGTCTTGTGGTCCAGTAACCCACCAGCTATCATAATGGATGCACGAGTCCTCCAACGTCTCATGACCCACCTCGTCTTCCACACCCTTGACAGTAGTGCTATTCATCAAGAGTAGCCCGATTTGAGTAACATTGATATAGTATTGGGTGACAAAGACCGTGATGGAGAGGAAACAGACCCAGATGATTTCAAGTTTGCTGAGGCAGCCAGCGGTGAGGACAGTGATACAGACGATGGCACTCACTCTCCCCTCCCCACTCTCAGCCACGTCCTCAGCGAGGTATGGCCGTAAGGGACCCAGTGCATGCCAGCTACAACAGTACACTTACTGTAGAGTGACCACTAATTTTACACCTGAAATACCAGTTTTCAAATGTGGATTTTTAAAAACAATGTTTTTTTTTGCCCAAATATGTCCGCATGGGGGTCCAACAGGTCTTATGTTGCTCGGGGCATTATGATTAAAAGTTTTGGAAACTTACGTTTACTGTCATCACAGATTAAAACTTTTACAAAATAAAATGTGAAGTACAAAGATCAGCAATTTAATGTGAACCCCCACTGTTTGCTGATAGCATTATAGATTTGACATTATGGGGGCTCAGAAGAGCATGATTCACTTTTGAGGACTGGCCAATTAAGGTACAACTGTGAACTCAGTAATGCTGTTTAACTTCTGAAAATAGCACAGTACAAAGCCTGCAAGCAATAGATATTAACACTGCCACATTGTGTAAATATTAAATAATATTTACAGAAAACTGTCCTTTAAAACAAGTTTTATTCTTTGATAACTGATTATCACAAGAAAGTTTCATATTACAGTACAAGATGATTGGATTAATTTTTTTAACCATTTGCCAGAGGGCAAGTAATTATGGAGGTTTAATCCTGAAAACCCATTTTATAACCAAGCCGCTGAGGAACAACTAAAGTATACCAGGTAAATGCTGCTAAAGCTGCGAGGATTTGGCTCAGACAATCCATAGATTATCCTCCTCTTTTGCTGCAATCCCCTCACCCCTCAAAAAAGGCAAGAGAAAACCTTAAGTTGGCAAATCACTGCATAACCCAGACTTCCAATGTCACAGGTTCCGGTTAAACAGTGAGGCTCCCAGGTTAATCTAACACGCAGCAATACTGAAAATAATGCAACATTTCCAGAACAATATGTCCATGAATATCTTAACATGTTAATAATGTACTATACTTTGAAATACAGTACTAAGATCAGAAAAATCAAGAGAAAATACTTGAAATGTCCAGAAAAATAAATATGAGATACTTTGGTCATATAATTATGGATGAGGGGAAATAACAAATATAAATGGGCAAAGCTGAGGGTAGGAGAGCCAGGAAAGGCACAGACTGAGATGGATGAATTAAATTAAAAACTGGGTCCCCAAAGACATACAAATCCTTGAACGATTGGTAAAAACAGCCCGAGAATGTTTAGAGTTGAGGGCTGTAGTCGCCAACCCTTAGATATGAGGACGGTACTTTGAATGATTGATACTGTACTTTGAAACTGATTTTACCTGTTTATATGAGCTGGTCAGAAATTAATAGTAAAAGAAATGGTCAATTAAAGATGTATAGCACAGTTTAGCATTATTTTCTAAGTATAAATGATAATTAGAAACAGAGGAGCATAAATATTGTAGAACTTACAGCCTTTGTCTCAACTTCTGTTATCTGTACAGAAACAGTGTCAGCTGGGTAGGGAACTTCCAAGGCCTCATATTGTTTCTGGAATTGTTCAACCATGCCAGGAACTGTAATACGCGCTTTATAAGCATCGAAGTTTATCTTGGGGGTAGTCTCAGGAAGTGATAAAACTCTGCAATCAGAAACCATATGTAGGATCCTTGTGTGAGCAAGATATAACAGTAAAAATAAAGTTAGGTAATACTGTACTGCAAAATGTAACTGACAACCATACCATGCACTTAGCACCAACTTCAGAATTTCTCCCCAAGAGAAGTGCACGAAGAGTATTTTTTCAGTAATATTTTTAATGATTTTTGTCTCGGGTATGCTTATGAGATGCCACCGACATCCATAAGCCTAACCTAACCAAAACTAACCTAAAATACAACAATTATCTTGTATTTTAAACTTCTAAAATAACAAAGTATATCTTGTCTGAACCTTTGTAGAGAAATTACCGGTAACATGGTGAATACCGGGACCTTGTCCACTTTGCCTCCCAGATATAAATACAGTAATCGTTAAGTGATATGATCTAATACATATGTCATGTAAACTTTTTTTTCATTTCTACAAGGTAAGAAAGCTAATGGCATACAATGGTTGTCAAGTGTAACTGTTTTATAAATGACATCAAACCTAAGAATCACGTTTTTATGATTTAGAACAAAACACTGGGTAGCCGGGTGCATATAGTACGCCACCTTCACAAATTTTATGTGATATTTAGGACAAATTCGTTTTCATGTGTGGTTTTGGGTTACAGAACAATAGGAGACAAAAATATCAAAATCCATTAACCCAATAATGTCACAGTAAATATAACTTCAATGTAAACTATACCTAACGTCACATAATTTCTTAAAAAATAACAGATGCAAAGGTAATTATTGATGACTGACACTTAAAAAAGGCTGCAATTTCACTGTGTTATAGAGTGCACAATGTCGTAGTTCGTGCAAATGTGTTAAAAAGTTGTTACTTCTAAATTAAACATAACCTAACCTTAGTTGATATGAAAAACAAGCAGCAGAAGCACTATTAGAAGACCTGACCAACCTAAGCAAACAAACCCACCTAACCTTACCTAACTTCATAGCCAGGGGGTGGACCCCCCAGTATATTAAACTTGCTATGTTAAGATGTAATTAAAATTTTTTTGTGGACGCGAGAGCAGCCATCCGTACTGAACGTTTCTTAAGCATACACTGAACATCGGCGTTGATCAAGCCCGGGCGGCATTGTGTTTTGAAATTTGTCATTATGATTGGCCGTTTACATCCTGGGATGAGACGTCACCGCCACATTACCGCCGAGAAGACAAAGTATTGTGCGTCTAGGCATCTAATTATCTACCAAACAAAGCATTTGCACAAGAATTGATTATGATATCAGAACTCCTGATGAAAATAAAGTCAACAGTAAAACAAATGGCTTGTCCTCAGGTCAGTCATCAATATTAACCAAGGCAAATTCAGACAGGGAACTGAATAACTAAGTACACATATAACAAAAACATTTTGTCAGTGAGGTACAGAATCAGTCACTCATAACAGCTGTATTAAGGTATATAGTACAATCCTGGTTTACACAAGCACTTCATCTAAAACCGGCATCATAAAATACTTACCGGTACTGTACTCAATTTTTGAAACCCAATTCATACTAAGTAGACAGCAAGAAGCAAATTTCACCAATAAAAATCTGCAAATACACAGTACAGTACTTACCTCTGCTTTTATTTTATCACACTGATCCTACATTACCGAATTTGGTTACTTTCAAACATGGTTAGGTTAGGTTTTGTGGTAAAATTACAGTAAACAGCAACCACAGAATTCAGGAAATTCACTACACTCAATCGATAGAACTATTTTTTCTATATAATTTACTTATTACATTAGAGGTGGTTATTGTAAGGTGTTTCAGATGCACGGAACAGCTAACGCATTAGCTATTCTGTCTGCCCAGACGCTGCTGTTGACTTCTCTGCATGACACTTTCAGAGGGAAAAGCCAACACCTCGATCAGGCGTTTGTTTGCAGCGGGCAGAGGCACCCTAATAGCTAACAACTAATCAGCGAGTTTCTCCCACTGAAAATATGCGGATCATGGCCGCTAATGGAGAATATTTTGATTACTATTGAAGAGTTTGGGGCATGTAAGGCAATAAATAACTGTGATACATATAATAATAAAAATAATTCTATATAAGGTAGTATACTGGATACGACCTAAAACAAACCGTAAGGCATGAAAGAATTGAAAAGGATTGCGCCTAGTTGAAACCTGTTTTGGCTCCGCCCTTTTTATGTGGGCGCTGTCCGATTTCATTAGCCATTGGTGACTTTGGTGTAACAATATTGATAATTACTCAAATATGATTAAAACTTTAATATCATTACTCATAAGATATTTTAAATAAGGGTAAACAAGTTGATTACAGTTTTGTAAGTGCATAAATTTAGACTTAAACGTGCCTAAAATTCGTCGTATTTCTTATCAAAATATGCAAACCCCTAGCTGCGAGAGAAGAAATGTACGCTCGCAACAAAAAGTATCGGTGCATACTGTAGTGTGAACAATTTGAAACCAGTGACGATAGGTATTGGGAAAGGCGAGTTGCTCCAGTCGTATGTTGGCAGCCCTGGTCAAGTGAAACAAACCGTTATAAATCAGGTCGGGAAGTGATAAATGGACAGTATGAAGTATGAGGAGCTCCCTTTTAACAAAATTATTTGTGATACTTGTGAATATTGCCACATTAATTTATGCTACCAAATAAACCACTCAACCTGGTCGTCCTGAGGGGTGGTGCTGCGTGGACGGCTGCTCCGAGACCTGTCGTCTGTAGCACCAGTTTTGAGGTATCGCCGAATCCATCGTGCAGTGGTGTTCCTGTGGACACCAACCCGCCGGCTAATATCTGTGACGCCGAACCCTTCGTTATGAAGGGCAATAATAGCTCCCCGTGTGCCCTCTGAGGTTTCCATGTCGTCTGGCATGTGTAGATCTCTACTGCTTCATATTGCCTCCGTTTTATACCCACGTTCACCGAGAACGAACCCTCGCTCATCATTCAGTCGACACAAAGCTACAATCCGAAAAGAGGAAACAAACACACTGATTGTCAGCCATATGGCAACACCTAGTGGAGGGGGGGGGGGTGGTTATGAGGATACACTTACTTACCAACCTTCCCGACATATCACAGTGTATACGTATCGTTTCGGAAGTCGTCGATCTCACCCTGCACTGATACTTATTGGTGCGAGTGTACAGCTGCTCTAGTCGTCTTGTGTGAGTATAGTCCTGGAGATACTTCCTTTACAAAGGCCTGATTTTTTGTTATTCGTATTTACTGTTGACCGAGTCTTTTTCCTTTTTTGTCTTTCTTTCCATACCTTTCTGTATATTTTCTAAACTATTTCTTTCCGTATTATGTCCAAATAACAGTTCTCCTAATTTTATTGTTTTCTGAAACTGTGTTGTACAACAGTTTTTTCCAAGACGCAGTACAATGTCATATTTTTTAATGACAGTCCGGGAAAGCTAACGTGTTAGCTATTCTGTACATCTTAAAATGCCTTACAATAAACACCTTCGGTTAGATTAGGTCAGGTTAGGTAACATTTTTTTTTATCAGATTCTGTGGTTGCTGTAATCTGCAATTTTACCGGTTTCGTTACGTTATAGTTGCAAGTGAATGATTTCAGTACGATAGGATCAGCATCATCAGCCTCGACCAGTCAGAACAAATAGCAAAGAAAAATAATCACTGCCTATAGTGAAGCAAAACGCCATCGAATGCAACAATGACCGTAATTACACTTCTAAGTACCTCCTGAAGTAGAACATTCTGAAAGGCCAACACACCTATACATATCCAACTATAGAACAATTTGACATATAATAGAATCCTCAAGCTAAGTCCGGTAGAAAATATTAGAACATTCCGTAACCAAACACCATAACACATCTTGCCGGCCTAACCCATTACACAACTTTACCTTCGTAGATAAGCATCAGATTTTCCCTTAAAGGCGTTAAACATGGGCTTTTGACCTTCAGGAACACGAGCAGCAAAGGCCGCCCAGTCAATAGCAGTTGAACCAATTCTACGAGCAGCCATTTTCGTCTTTTAAGAGTTGAAGCCCCAAGCTGCAGAAACACCAATGGAGGCCAGGGATCAGCTGAGTCTCGGAGTTGGCACAGCAGACCTCTTCTACCTAGTCAATTGAGCAATACCAAGCGCACACACACTCATGAATTAATATCTATCATATTCTTCCTTTGATGATCAATTTTGGTTAATACTTGGTGATATACATGGAAGGAATTCTGTATTTTATTTTTATTCAGGGAGATAGAGCTAAAAATAATCATACTCGAATACCTGCCTGTCAGTTTTTTTTTTAATGTTTCTCTGCTTCTTCTTCTGTTTATCTGTACGTATATTCCCGTTTTTGTCTTTGTCAATTCTGTCTCAGTCCCCTTTTCTCCAAACCTTCCTGCCTGATTCCTTTTCTTCGTACCTTTCCATCTGTTCCTTCCCTTCTCCATTTCTATATCTGATCTCTCCATATCTTCCCGTCTCTGTGTCTCCATCTCTCCATATGTTCCCGTCTCTGTCTCCATCTCTCCATATATTCCCGTCTATCTCCATCTCTCCATACGACATAAATAACCCTGTTACTCTTTTTGTAGAAACTTTGAGAGATAATTTTCTGTTCCAACATGTTAAAGACCCGACGCATTACAGAGGGGAGCAAACACCCAAGCCACTGGACCTCATCATATTTTTTTTCTTTTATCCTCTTCACCACTGATCGGCTCGTTAACCGCTTGGGCGATCGGTCAGCTACGCACTGTTGGCAAGAACTGGGCATGCCCCGGCTCCTGAATTTATCTGAACCTGCTCCATCGTTGGTCAAGTCTGGTCCTGAAAGAGCTTACACTCGGTGCCGTCACAACACTTTCTGGCAAATTGTTCCAAGAGTTCACAACTCTCGCTCCGGCTTCTTCAATCTTGAGCTGTGACCCCTTGTGGGGCGAGCGTCAGCCAACTCCAAGTAAGGATACTCGACTGAGAAGTGCCCCGTGATATGCTTATACACCTCAGATAGGTCGCCCCTTGCCCGTCTGTAGTATAAGCTAGGCAAGTTTAGGCGCTCTAATCTCTCAGGATAGTTGAGGTGCCGAAGCGCAGGCACCAGTGTGGTGGCCCTCTGAACATTTCCAATCAACTGACAGTCCCTAGCATATCTCGGGGACCAGACCGGGTGACAGTACTCCAGATGGGGAAGCACTTCACTCTTGAAGTTCGTTACGGAGGACGGACGGTCTAGATATCTAAACGACCTTCTTATAAGACTTAATAATTTATTTGCCCGATTTACCTTCTTCTCGCAATGGCCCGAGAACTTCAGCTCATTGTCAACATACAAACTTAGGTCCTTCTCACATTCACTCTCAAATAGTGCAGTTTCTTCATCCCGTTGGGACATATGATACGCCTCCTTACCGTTGGTACGCCCCAGGGGCATCCTCTTACACTTCGTGACATTGAATCTCAGCAGCCATTTCTTCAACCATTCTTGGAGCTCACACAGATCCTTCTGCAGCTCTTCACGGTCCGCTTGGTTCTTTATTTTCCGAAATAACTTGGCGTCATCCGCAAACATTTGTATGGAGGAGTGGAAAACGTCAGGCATGTCATTTATGAAACAAACAAACAATAGCGGGCCCATTACACTTCCCTGTAGTACCCCGCTTGTGACAGGTACAGATGATGATTTCGTGCCATTAATCGCCACACACTGCTTGCGGTCCTGTAGAAAATCTTCTATCCACGCTACTCGCTAGGACATTTCCCTTAATTCCGTACCCTTCCAGTTTGATTTTCAGCCTTTCGTGCGGTACACTGTCGAAAGCCTTGGTAAAATCTAGATATTTAATGTCGACATTACCACCCCGTTCCAGAATATGGGTCCAAATATCCAGTACCTTGAGAAATTTTGTTAAGTAGGAGCGCCCCGGCATAAAACCGTGTTGGCAATCCTTTACAAGGTTATTTCGTAGTAGATGTTCCATCGCGGCATCTCTGATAATACTCTCAAGTACCTTACATATTATGCTGGTCAGGCTCACCGGTCTATAGTTGTTCGTGGAGTGACGATCGCTTTTCTTGAAGATAGGACTCACATAAGCCATTTTCCAACCACTGGGGACCTTTTGTTCATCCAGGCATTTACGGAGTCCAAGTGGTGTAAAATTAAACTAAAGGGTAGGGACTTACTTATTGTCGGGTGTATCTACAGATTCCCAAACTGTGGCCCACTAAATCAAAGGAACTTAAGAGTCTTAATAGGCAACGCGGCGATGCTCAACCCTAGCCACCTCCTAATCAAGGGGGACTTTAACTATGGCGACATCGACTGCAGAAACGAGTTCACCCCAAATGACTTGAATAACCCTGTTACTCTTTTTGTAGAAACTCTGAGAGATAATTTTCTGTTCCAACATGTTAGAGACCCGACACATTACAAAGGGGAGCAAACACCCAAGCCACTAGACCTCATCATAACAAACGAGGAGGGTATGGTGGCCAAACTGGAACACCTTGCCCGAGTTGGCACCAGTCACCATATAGTTTTGTCATTCAGGTTTAACTGTTACCTAGTTCAAGATAAGGCCAGGCCAAGGTGCAAATATTACAAGGGAAATTACAAAGGAATGAGGGAAGAGATGAAGGGTATCCACTGGCCTGACTCATTAAGGCACAAGAACGCAGACACTACGCTGAATATCATAACTAGTAAAGTGACCCATTTGATCGATAAATATATACCCAAGACCAAACCCAGTGCCTCTAGAAATAAGAGGGAATCCCTACACATGAACCACGCGGCGGTCGACAAAGTTAAGAAGAAAACCCAGAAATTCGAGACGTGGGTTGGGTCAAATGATGAGCAGGACAGGAGGATGTATGCAAGACTAAAGAAGCCGCAAGTCCAGAAAACTGTGAGGGCAAACTTTTTCGGAGTGAGAGTTGTGAACTCTTGGAACAATCTACCAGAGAGTGTTGTGACGGCACCGAGTGTGAGCTCTTTCAAGACAAGACTTGACCAACACTGGAGCGGGTTCAGGTACATTCAGGAGCCGGTGCATGTCCAGTACTTGCCAACAGTGCGTAACAGAGACGTGACCGATCACCCAAGTGGCTAACGAGGTGATGAGTGGTGAAGAGAATAAAAGTAAAAAAAAAAAGAAAAAAAAAGTAAAGTGTGTGTGTGTGTGTGTATAGGATCTCGCCAGTTCTCGCAGGCCACTGATGCCCAACTGCGCATGCGCTCTATTCCTCAATTTTATTTAAACCACAAATTCAAAACACGAAGAGCAATATTCTCACTATCATCACTTGTGAGCTTTGTTTTCTGACTTATTGTTATTATTTATAAACACATTTGGTAAGTATGAATGTTACTTTTCACCTCAATGAAATGTTTATTGAATTTTATTGTGGTTTATCAGGTTAAAAGGTGTCATGCTGGTCTCACGTCGTGTTGATGCTACCATTGTCGAGTTATTTACGTACTGTAGTTATTAGGGAATCAGAGGTAATTGCATTGCATTTCCTACATCTTCAGTGTTTACTAGGAGAGTCTATTGCTCTTCTCAGCCATTCATAATGTGATATTAAGGACGTGAGAATCTACCCGTTCTATGGTCATGTTATATTTCTCATTTCTTTACTGTACTGTATATTGTTTTTGTCATTTGTTCTTCCGGCTTTGTCAGCTGGTTATAGTTTCACAATAATCCATGTACTTTTTATCATATTTCTATACACAAAGGGTCCGACTAATTACCCAAATGTAGCCGCAATGAAGTCAAATAATGGTCCTAGATGAATAAATCGGACTGCCAATCACTTCTCGACTAGTATTTGGTGTCATAAAGTCACAAAAAATTGGTAAACTTAATTTAATCTGAGTTAATAGATCGAGTGCATGTACCTAACCTAACCTAACCTAACACACCTCAGATTAAATTAAGTTTACCAATTTTCTGTGACTTTATGACACCAAATAATAATCGAGAAGTGATTCACAGCCCGATTTACGCTTGTAGGACCATCATTTGACTTCATTGCGGCTACATTTGGGTACATTTGGGTAATTAGTCGGACCGACATAAAGGAATTCTTGTACCCACTTTAGTATAACTGCAGTTTTGGACAATATGGATCTCTAGTTGAAAAATGGGTAAATTTTTCTTGTCACACCATTCACTTTTAGCAAGTTAAAAATATATTTTTCTAGTGTATTTGTGTGTTCAGACCGAATATGACCTTCCTTTTTGGCGGAAATTAGCCGTTTTTTAGCGATTTTTTTTCGTCTGACGTTTTCCGAGAAAAAAGTGGCTAAGTGACTAAAAAATACACAAAAAAACACTAGAAAAACAATAACCAAACTTAACCTAACCTAACCCAACCTAACTTAACTGACTCACCATAAGATGGAATCACCTATTTCTTATCTTATTGGCCTGGTTCTTGTTCGTCGTTGCATTCTGGGATTCTTACACAACGCCACATATGTTGGTCTTTGCGATATTTACTTTCTGTCTTGCTCTTAGTACACTTTACTGAGGTTGGAAGAACACTATGCGATCGAAAAAATGCTATAGTTTCTTCTTTTTTTTTCCAAAAACTCGCAATCAGCTCCATATACTTTAAGTGACACCCATCGCAGACTTCCATGGTCGGAACTGAACTTGAATTTCAAAATGTGAGAGACCAAAAAGAATACTCGAATTTGATTGGGCCAAAAATACCGCAAATTAAACCCAAAAACATTTTAATTGGTTTCAAAATCAAAAAGGCTTTTGATTGGCCGCTTGACGTGTACAGCAACGCACGAGCAGGATGGTTTATGAAGGAGACGCAGGAGACACGCAGTGTTGGAGGAGAGGCAGACGATAATGGCGGGATGTTAATGGAAGAAAATAGAAAATATTTTGGATATGCTATCTCTGTTATTATACATTTCCGCCGGTAATGTGATAGATGAAAATTATCTTATAATTAGACGTCTTATTCGAATATGATAATAGATTAGTGGTAGGAATGAATGGTGTGTAAAGAAAATAATACCGAAAAATGTGCTTTTCCGATGGTTTAGACAATTTTAAGACACTTTTCTGCTATGACGTTTTCCTTGCAAATTACTTAAATATACCGGGGGATCCAGGGGGGGCCCTGGGTAGGAGGTTAGGTTAGATAATTTTAGGTAATTTGTGACGGAAACGTCATAGAAGAAAAGTGACTTAAAATTGTTGAAGCCGTTGGAAAAACAGATTGCTCAACTACTTGGGTGTAATGTCCGAAACTGCAATTTTACTCCAAGTTTTAACAATAAAGAAAATTCTTGGTAAAATTATCGTTTCGGTCATCCAGCGATCTTAGGGTTTTATGTTTTGGAATCAGTAGTTTAGACAATTTCAAGACTTTTCATCTATGTCATTTTCCCGTTCAGGATTAGTTTCAGAGAAAATCGCAAAAAAAAAAATGGAGTTTTGGGTGGGGGTAAATCACAAAAAAGTAGTAAATTGCAATAGAAATGAAGGTCAGAATAATCCAAAACCTAACCTAACCTAACCCTAAACCTTACCTTAACCCTCTCAGCCTCTGAGCCTGAGACACACACGTGCATGAAAACTTATGCTTAACTTCGGAGGTTTTTGTTGAAAAAACTTTGATTTTTTTTTAGAGCTCATTTCATTGCTATAGAATTGTTTTATTAATTGTATTGGGGTCTGAAAAATTGTATGAAACTTTTTTCGAGTTTAAGTTGAAAAAGGAAAATGTTTAGTGACATTTGGATTTCCATTCACATTTTCCTTGTATTATGGTGTTCATTAATATGTACTATATTTCAAAATAAAGAACAAAGCATGTAGAATATGTTGGTACAAGGAAAATAATGTAACACAAAAACTCATGGAATAATAAAAAGGGCCGAGCACACCCTCCTCTCGCTCTAATGGCCAAAGTGACACTGGCTTCATGCTGCGCCGCCACACACACAATGACCGAGACCATCTCGGGGAAGGTGATAAGGCCCACAAAGAAAATGACGTCTGTCAAATAGCGTCCTAAGTTCAGTCGGTTTCACTGAATAGTTTTGAGTTATTTGAAAATATAACCTATTGGACACCACGGTGGCGTCGCGAGGCTGATTGTAAGTTTTTCCCCATTTATGTTCGACGCCACAATGGCGTTGTTCGAGGTTGAGAGGGTTAATTAGGCTCAGAAGACCCCGAGTTGGGGTCATGAGAACAAAGAATGGAGGAAACTGCAGTGGGCCTATTGGCCCATACAGGTACTGGGCAGTCCCATTTACACCCAACCCCTATTGCTCATATCCATCCAACCTATGTTTGAAGCTATCCAGCATATTTGAGTTAATGATGATGTTTGGTGACTTGTTCCACTCAAACACTACTCTATTTCCAAACTAATGTTTACCTATCTCACGCCTAAATCTAAATTTGTCTTATTTAAAACCATTGCTACGAGTTAGCTCCTGGTTGGATAGTTTGAGTACCGGGTATGCTATAACGACTCTAATTGGTTCTAGAACCTTGTTCGTTATAGCATTCGTTCGTTATAGGATTAATCCGTTCCAGGCCCCCAAATACAACCGCTTAACACTGAAAAATATAATATAAAATTGTAAAAATTGTAAAAAAGTGCATAAATATGCATCTAAACTCCTGAAATAAAGAATGTCATTAATACTTGTAATAAAAAACAATAAATTAGTAAAAAAAAAAAATACTGTTCGTTGTAGGAGTTTCGTTCGTTATAGCATTCTCAATTTTATAGGTAAAACCGTTTGTTATAGGAATATTCGTAGTAGAATCCGTTCGTTATAGCATACCCCACTGTATCACCTTTGTTTAGCCCTGACTTCCATTTATACACCTCGATCATATCGCCCCTCACTCTACGTCTCTTGAGGGAGTGCAAATTAAGATGCTTTAACTTGTCTCTGTGCTCAAGGTTCCTAATGCCCGGGATTAGTCATGTCATTTTCCGCTGAATTCTTTCTAGGGATTCTATATCCATTCTGTAGTACGGTGACAAGAACTGAACTGTGTAATCCAAGTGAGGTCTCACAAGCGCAAGATATACAGTAGTTTTAGGATAACCTTGCTAGTCTTGTAACTAACACTCCTTTGTTTGAACCCAAGTACCTTGTTAGCCTTGTTTTGAGTAAATACACATTGTTGACTTGGTTTAAGATTCCTACTTATCATTACTCCTAAATCTTTCTCACAGTCGGATTTCTCTATAATAACGTTGTTCATCTGATATCTGGTTTCTCTGTTTACATCTCCTAGACTAAGTACTTTACAGTTGTTCACATTAAGTTTCATCTGCCAGTTTTCAGACCATTTAAAAAATTTGTTTAGATCTTCCTGTAATCTTGCGGAGTCCTCGGCAGATTTAATTACACGCCCTATTTTATTGTCATCGGCAAATTTACTTATGTTGCTGTCTATGCATATATCTATGTCGTTTATGTATATAATAAATAATAATGGTCCAAGTACTGAGCCTTGGGGTACTCCACTCGTGATGTTACCCCCAATCACATTTAGTGCTGTTAATGCTTACTCACTGTTTCCTGTCCTGTAACCATGCCCTAATGCATTTTAGAATATCCCCTCCAATTCCATGAGCCTCCATTTTACATATTAGTCTTTCTTTGGGGACTCTGTCGAAGGCTTTGCTAAAGTCAAGGAATACCACATTATAATCGTGCTCAAGTACAGTATACCACATCATAATTATGCCTCCTCCTCCTCGTCATCCACAGGTCGCACTGCCTGGCTGATTTCTACGACTTAGGGGGGTTGGCGGGGGGGCCTATACCGAGCTGTGATTGGTTGATCCAAAATCATACTCACCAATCAACGTCCAAAGAACAACTGTGCCTGTGTCAGACTCTAGCGCATGCGTAATGAACAAAGAAACCAATAAACGAACACACGGGAGCTCTCTGAGATGGTGGTAACAATAATAAGGACTTAGTTGAAATACAAAAGATTTTCCAATAATTCATTGCTATTTTCTCTGAAAGTAATAATGAGTGGGAAAAATGCCATAGAAGAAAAGTGTCTTAGAATTGTCTAAACTACGGATTCCAAAACTTAAAATCCTAAAAATTGCTGAATGACCTAAATGATAATACAAACACCCAATTCTTTTTCCAACAATCACCTAAAATGAGACCAAATAGTTCTAACCTAATAGTGATGAAAATGAAATACTGTAACTATGAAAGTACAGTAATGGTATACAGTAAACCCTTCCCATTTGCGGGTTTAAGATTCGCGATTTCGACGATTCGCAGTAAGCAGCTGTTGGCTCGGGTGGCTAGCATGCGAGCCTTCTCCCTCACCGCAACGAGTCACCCCACGCGCCCGCGGCATCTCATCTCGCTCTGTTTGCCCTCACCCAGTACCCATGACCTAGCATCTTGTGTCGTACAGTGAGTTCTGCTATAATGCGTGTTTTGATAACGCGAATTTGCTCTAACGCGATTTATGAATTAGGAACGATATTTGTATAACGTGAACGCTTGTTTGCTATAACGCGATTTTGCTTACTATTTCTCCAATTTTGTGTTACTGTATTAACTGTGAATATAGTAAAGAAGAATATCAACAAGAAGCGTTCTGGTGATAGAATTCCCGGTGATGATCGTAAAAGAAAGGATATAACACTTGAAGAGAAGCTCGATTTTATCAACCTCAAAATCACCCTTCTCCCCCATCAAGTAAAGTGTTACATTTTTTTTTCGATTTCGAGTAATCTGCACCTAACTCTTCTTTGCTCCATAAGCCCTGTTATTTTCTATTCTGCGTTTTCTGTATTTTACAAGAACACAATTGTGGTTATAGCAAAACTTCTTCTCAAAAGCTTTTGTGTCCGTGAAATATTTTCAGGTTAATTGATGCTAGTGCAGATGACATAAAGGCAAAGTCAGTGATGACTCTGACAAAGAAAGTTGAATTATTGAATGGGCTGAGGATGGTGCCGCGTTTAATTCGGTTGTTTGATGTGAACGAATCCACAGTGCGGTACATAAGAAAGAATGAACAAGCAATTCGTAATTCTGTTTAAGCAAGTGCTAAAGTGGCGCAGGTTGTTCATGATAAGAACATAGTGAAACCTGAGAAAGCTCTAGACTTCCTCATTCGAATAAGTACAGTATTGAGACTTAAGTTTCTCATACACAGTACGTACTGTATAGGTATACCTGTATTTTAGTGCACTAAGGTATTATATAAGTGGCTATTCGAGGTTTTGCCAATTCGCGCCATTTCTTGGAACCTAACCCTCGCGAATGGCAAGGGTTTACTGTACTGTACTTCAGTGTAATATAATGTAATGTACTGTACTTCTACTTGGTAATATAATAAACAAGATGATCTCATACTAAAATATTCCTTGTGTATCTTGGAGTTGATAATAATGAATGGAGATAAGATTTGAATTGTTATATATACAGTACAGTACTGTATCTGCATGTGAAAAAGAGCAACTGGTAGCAGAAGTCATCTCCAGAAAATGTTAGGAATATTTTTATTTTATTTTATTTGTTTTTATATAATTTTTGCCACTTACCAGCTTACTAGCTATTTGGGCGGTCTATCCAATGTCAGTACAGGAGGAAACCCGGGACCAGGAAACCTGTGATGTTTGGTAGGGTTACACTGGATAACACCCTACTCAAGTGTGTCCGGGCCGAGGTTAAGTAGAAGCACAGTGTAGCATTGGCCAAGTGGATACAGCATTCTCCTTCTGTCCTGAAAGTTGCTAGTTGACACCCAGGGTATCTCCAGTTTAACCAGTTGTGAATAGTCACTATAGTTAGGAAGTGAAGGTGGTGGAGTTCACTGCTGGCAATTTGACCTTCTTAAGTACAAAAGGTTTACTATTCAGTGTGCTGTATCTGCATTGCCTCTTACCATCAAAATAATATACAGACACTCTCCGGGATACAGAACACTTGGTTTACGGAAATTTGAGGATATGGAATGCCTCTGATAAGTCCCGTTATAAAAAAAAGTTCGGGTTGAGCAAGAGTTTCTGTTACTACGGAAGGTGACTACTGGTAGTACAGCATAACATAACTATTTGTGGAGGATTATGCATAAAATCCCCTTGTGAGACTTGTTTATTTGCTCCATGTTCAATATAGTACAGGGTACAATGCATATTTACCTTATGGAAGGGTCATTTTCGGTTTACGGAAAATTCAGCTTACGGATAGGGTCCAGGAGTGGAACCTTTCCATAAACTGAGGAGTGTCTGTATACGTATTTACCATTTTGGGAAGGTAAACAAATAAGTACCTTTTTGAAAAGATTGAGATAAATTTTGTTGATCTTGAGATTCTTCAGGTGGCTATGCACCACCTTAGAACACACTATGTCAACTCATGTGTATATGTCTAATGAAGGCTGGTGACATAAAGCCTAGGAAACCAGTCAAACTGTGGCTGAGTTTTTATATGGAGAAAATGGGCCAATTTAGGAACTACAGTACATTACATTGACCTCTTGTTATTACTGACTGCATTAGGTACAGTGTACAGTATAGCAATAATAATATTACTAGGCCTGTAAATTGTTTAAGATATACAGTAGTGGTTTATGATTTATTAGAACTATTTATTGAATATACATAATAGAGTAATACTGTATTGTTATGTTCTTTCAGCAGTTTTGTTAGTGTTAAGCGAGTGTACAGTATCTTATGTCAAGATGGGGAGCACCAACCCACAAATTAAGAACTTCATCAGCATTGCTTATGATTACCGGCGAAGCAGGACTGACAAAAACCTTGTTCAACTTCAGCGTCATCTACAGGTGATTACTGTATCTTAGAGCCTGTGGTTGTTTTAGTCTAGAGTTTGTTACACAAGGTTTTCTCTAACAGTGTAACTATCCAAGTTTCAAAAGATGATTCAGGTATAGGGGTTCATATATAGTACCCGGTATAAGTAACAGGGATGTTATTACGTAATAGAAATAATTTGTTTGTTGAAATTATTGTCTCAAATTCCAAGTGAATTAGTTGTGTTATTCCTAGACCTGTCAATAAATAGTAATTACAAGCAATGGTTCTCGTCATCATCAACAACATTTAACACACATTTTCTTACACTTGAGTGGGTTAACCATGATTAATTGATGCCAGCTGTTTAATAAAACCAGAACAGGATGTATGGTACCTGTATTCCCCTTTCTCCTCACCACTACAAACTTGGGTACTGTACTGGTAAACCAAGGGATGGGCACTTTTTTGGTGACCTTATTTCCATCAGGCATGTTGAAGCAAAGTTTTATGGCTGGATGCTCTTCCTAAAGCTAACCCACAGGGTAAGAATAGGCAAGGCAGGGCCACAACTCCCTAAGGTAATCAAAGAACCAGCCTGCCATAACTGAAGCTGTTTCAGTACTTCATTCTCACAAAAAAATATTTATACATACTGTATATATACAAACTTTTGGAGGACTTTTCCCCCTAATATCCCTGACAAAAGAGTGCCCAGTACCCACTCTGAGTCTAAGTAGCTCTTTGAATCCCTGGCATAAAGTAATGAAGTTTAATCATCTTTGTCTTGTGCTTTACAGGAATTTACAAATTGGAGAGAGCATCTTTCTGTTGTAATGTTTTTTCACACCGTATCATTGCAGTATTACAGTACTATATAAGATTATTTCTTTTCATGTCCTTGAAATTCTAATGCACTCTTCATTTTCAGATTTTGTCAGTGGTGAATGATTTGAGTATATTTGAGCCAACTGGAGTTGAGACATTGGAGTTTTACGTGTGTCTGGAGCAGTTTCTAAACTCAAATGATGCCAAGTCGCCAGTGGTATGGAAAGTTATTTCCCTACTTGCTCACATTTGCAGTTCCCCAACAATCCGTGTTGCTCTCAGGTAAGAGGTTTTGACTTGCTCAATGTAACTGACAAACTGAAGGGGAAAATGAGCACCCACAACTCCTTTGGAGCCAGTGACCAATTCTTATTAGTCTTGTTGTAATCATTATCCTTGTACTCGGAGAGAGAAGCGCTAAAGTACTGTACTGATTGATAGTGTATTCAAACTGAGTCACAGAATGAATCTGTCAGTTAGATAACAGTTTGATTCAGTTACACAAATTCTCAACAGACACACCAGAAGTTGTATTACTTATTCTTCCTCTCCCTACACTGCCTTATAAAGAACATTACAGTACAGTACTCCCATATTATTGATTCATTGACCCAGCATAATTTTAGGAAATAAGATGAGAAGTCAAGTGATAAATATTTACAATACAGTACTATACTCTACAATATTACTACTTTTCATATTGCTAATTCAAACAGTACAATACAATACTGTACTGCCGTATCTTATCCTGTTTTTGTTTTGTTTTTCGCAAAACAGAGATGATATCAAGCTTGTTCCCATACTGAGCGACTTCTTAGTTGAATCTAAGCTCAACAAGGACAAGTCACTGAAGACATTGAATCTAATAAAAAAGATATCTTACAAACTGAAGGTGTGTATACTGTAATGACTGATTGTTACATATCTCCTTGACTGTTATGCCATTTGATTGAAAATTAGGAAAGACCATTTATTGTTTGATATTCTTGCTTCCTTTCCCAATAGCCTTTTATTTCATATACCGGTATATATATATATATATATATATATATATATATATATATATATATATATATATATATATATATATATATATATATATATATATATATATATATATATATATATATATATATATATATATATATATATATATATATATATATATTAGTTCTGCTATAACGCGATAATTGTGTTCTTGTAAAATATCGTGTTATAGAAAATGCGTAATAGAAATAACATATATAGAAAATAGGTTAGGTGCAGATTAATTAAATCAAAAATTTAGTAGTTAGCCTAACACAAAGGATAGCACAGTCTAAATAAATGTTACATTCATATCTAATAATGAAATCATACAGTAAATTTAACACTTTACCTTGAAAAAATATGAATGTAACTTGATGGGGAGAAGGGTGATTTTGAGGTTGATAACATCAAGCTTCTCTTCAAGTGTTATATCCTTTCTTTTACGATAATCACCGGGAATTCTATCATCAGAATGCTTTTTGGAGATATTCTTCTTTACCATATTCACAGTTAATACCACAAAATTGGAGAAATAGTAAGCAAAAATCGCGTTATAGCAAACAAGCGATCGCGTTATACAAATATTGTTCCGAATTCATAAATCGCGTTAGAGCAAATTCGCGTTATCAAAACACGCGTTATAGCAGAACTCACTGTATATATATATATATATATATATATATATATATATATATATATATATATATATATATATATATATATATATATATATATATATATATATATAACTGGATTATTTTGAAGAAAATTCCAGATAGGATAAACATTACCTTAGAGGAGAAGAGTGACACAGGTTTTAAAGGGTATAGCTGTACTAAATATCCATAATCTTTTCATTTTTTTTTTTACAATATGTTTGGTATCTACAAGAGTAAAGTTGGACTTACAAACAATTGGACTTAAAAACAAGCCTCAGGAACATAACTCCTTCGTAAGTAGAGGAGCACCTGTACAGGTATATAAATTTGTTTTTAAATTTTTCTTCCAGATTGTGCGTACAGAGTCATGGGTACTGAAGCTTGTACCGTATCTAGTGAGACATGTCATAGAAGATAACAGTGGAGATGATCTCTTAGTACCAGCTCTCACAACATTGGCAAATCTCTGTAGATCCAATCCCCCAGTTATGTCATGCCTTCGTAATATCAGCAATAATAAGGTTAGTTTCTCTCTCTCTCTGTCATATGTCTATTTTATTAGATCACCTGAAGATTAGACACCCTAGCATATTTTTTCACCTGATGATTAAGTACCTTAAGGCTACCCTAACTTAGCCTTAGCCACCCCCTCCCCTCCCTAGATACTGGTATGGTGTTTAATCATCTTTCCTCTGCTTATCGACTCTTATAACCTTATTTCTCTGTCTCCTACATCCTGAACCTTTCCTTCTCTAATACACCACATTTCTTCATAGTACAGTACATACTGTACACATCAGTTAACTTACATTTCCTTTTAATGTTCACCAACATTTAGTATGGCGGTTTTCTATCTCTTTATCTCACCTCCATGTCGATTTGTAGATTTCTTCCTTTCTCTCTGTACTATGAACTCTCTTTCAATGCAAATTTCTATCAAGTCTTTTTCTCATTCAGCCTTCCATAGTTACCCACAGTCTCCTTCGTTTCCCTATGACCAACACTTGCATATGAAACCCCAACTGCTGTTGTGTTATTTACTAACTGAATTTTTCAATGCAGTTATTCAGGTCATCCCAAAACCTTTTATTTTTTATTTTTTTTTCATTTAACTTTTCTCATTCCTGGGCGATTATGTTCTCACTCTGCCTTACAATCCCTACTTTTACTTTTGATCCATACTATTCTGGGACTAACCCTCCCGTCCCTTATAATCTTTCACAGACCACATTCCTTCACTCAACAATGCTGCCACTCACTTTTTAGCTCTGTTTCTTTAAGACATTTCTGATTTTACTCCACTCACCTGTTTGTCCACACGTCATCTCTTCCTCTGCCCTTCAACTTTGGCACAAAAAAGGACATACAGGTTACTTTTATTCATCATAACCAGAATTATTTAATTACTGTATTATGTTCACACATTACTGTAGTAACGTTTGATGTGGATCTATCATTCAATACAGTAATGATTACATCAATAAAATTTCAGGCACTTGTGCAGAAGTTGACTGACATGAAAACAGCTACAATCAACTTAAAACTGTTAGCATCAGAGCTAATGTTCTACTTAGATTTGAGACTCACTGATCTAGACTTTGGTCTTGTAAGTATCCTGCTTGCTTTAGTTGACTTTTGTCGTGGTGTAAAATGATGAGACATTCATGTGTTGTGTCAGCAATCACATTATTCTGGATTTTACTGCCTTGTGTTATGTTGTTTACAGTAGTTGTGATATTAATTTTTGTTTACATGTGTGTGTGTATTTTGGTTTACATTAGAGCAGTCATGTTCAGTACTGTTCATAGATTACCAATTAATCAGAAAATGCACCAACAGCATTAAATTGGTCCCTAAGGATTTTGTCTTTGAGGGATTTCACTATAGACCATATCCTTCCTGGAGTTCAGTGTTTGAGCCTCATCCAGGATACTGTAGGTATTTTAAGATATATGAAAGCAGTACAGTACTTGTATTTTCAGATTGTATAGTTCTAGGAAGAATAACACTTTTAGGGGGTTAAGCGTTCTAGTTTGGTGCATGATTTTGTTCTCCTAACATAATCATGGTCTCTTATTTTTAGATTTTCTTTTGACCTTCAAATTTTTTTCAATAGGGACGTAAGACAATGGATGAGTTGTCGGTTCTGGGTAAACACAAGAAAGTCCTGCTATACTAGTTGAGATAAGTTTATTTCTCTAGAAACAAGGCCGCCATTTGCAATGACGTCACCACCTACCCTGCAGACGATGCAGGGATGGTGATATGAGTGTATATAGAAGTAATGACATTGTCTGGACTTTGTTTTGAGAATGCCTGGTGCTAGGTAAACATGACAACATGGTGTTGTTATTGTTTTGATGATTCACTAAAGAACCACCTGGATATATCATCATTTATTTTAATTAATAGGTAAAATTTTACTTTAACTACCATAAGTATTTGGATGCTTACATTTGAGATAGGCTATACAAGGTATTGGGTAAATTTAAGTTATGGTCATCCCTGTACTTAGACATGCAGACTATGTTTTTGTGATGGCTTGCGATGTGTTATGAACGATTTAGACCTTCATTTTATCGGAAATCACTAGTTTTGGGTTACTCTCCCCCCCCTTTACCGGTGTATATTAAGCTAATCTTATAACTTATAATATAACTTATCAAACCCTAACCTAACTTAACATATGACCTGTATTTTCGTAAGCGATCAAAAAATTTTAGTGACAGAAATCCTTTAGAAATAATGTGTCTTATTGTTTAAAGTACTTAATCCCATAGTTAGAATCTTCAGGTTCCCCTGATGACCAAAACCAAAATAATACCAATATTGTTTGGAATGTTTATAGTACTATGAAATTTGTAGTAGAGGCAGCAAATATCCATTGAATTAGTTAATGTGCTTATTAATATTTATATATTCAATATAGTATTACTGTGTTGCACAGTAAAGCACAATTAATTATCTAATAATATTTATTTACAGAGCCAATCAGCCGAGAAGGTTGGACAACTACTTCCAGGGTTCATCAAGGCAGATGAAAGAAATTTACCAAAAGCAGATGTGTTTATGATTGTAGAGTATTATCAAGAAATCCGCCACCCAGTTATGACGCACGTTAAATTACATCTGTCATCTGATCATGTTAAGCCCATCCCCTGGTCATGGTCGTCCCTAGTCCTTCCACAACATTAAATATAGACATCAGTGACGAAAACTTACATTTTCCAGACACGAAATAGAGAAGAGTGATGAAAACTTCCATGTTGGAGTTATCAGTCTTTTGCATCATTTTGGCACCCAGCAAGTAAATACACACGATGATACTTGAGCAGTAATTTATTTTAACCTAACGATGCCTGTGCATATCAACATTGTATATGGCCATTAGTCCTGTATTCCTGCTGGTAACAACACATACACCACAGCTGGCCACCTCCAGGCTCCTGCTCTGCGGCTGGTGCTAGTCAGTGACGTCATAACCAATCACAGAACTTTTCGCAGTCACGTGACTTTGTAGCAACTTTAACCCTTATTTTTTACATTTTTTGGCCCAATTTATTTCAAAATGTCATTACCATAATGAGTTTAAGTATTTTCTTTACCCATTGACCTGCCATCTTACGAAAAATTCCGACCGACAACTCGTCCATTTTCTTTGGCCTTAGACAAAAGAAAAAATAATTGCCAGAGAAAAAAATGCTTCTTGAACTAACTGTGAATAAAGAGAAAATTCTGAGGTAAAATTGATTATCACTTTCTCATGTTTCAGTATTTAACGGTGCTTATTGTTTTGACAGATAGAGCATATTGTAGATTTGGTCTTTACTGCAGCAACTGAAGGTTTTATGGAAAATAATATAACTTGTCTTCAATTGGCTTCTGATGTTTTTGGGGAGCTTACATCATGTCCAAGTATTGAGGAACACTTAAAAGGGTAATTTTCATTGCCAATTCCTTTCTCTAGCTTGTTAATTTTTTCAACATAGTACAGTACATTATATTTTAAACTACAGTAGAACGTCGATTTAAAGCGATTCAATTTAAGATTGTTGATTTAAAGTGACACCCACAATTAAAGTCAATGTTTTAATTTAAAGCGAATCTTTCCTATTTTGCGGGAGTCAATCTGGTGCATCATATTTTAAAATTCGCGCCTAATGTTTCTCTGGGCACTCTACACTGTCCTAAGGGCAAAGCTGTACTGTACATGTACTCAAAATAATGAAGTAAATGATTACTAAAATTTTTGTCAAGTGCAAACTATAGCATGATTATACCTGTATTCAAATTAATCACTATCTTATAAGAATTCCAGCAATGTAAATTATATTCACTCCGGTCACTTCTGTGACATTTTATAAACAAAAAACAAAAACTCAATCTAAAGGACAGAAACAAATAAATACTTCACTAGACTTTTGGCACAACTGCCAAACATGTCATCCCCTACTTCCCTCCCTCTCCCCCCCCCATCTTCCCAGCCAGGGTTGGGTGGTTTTAGTCTTTAAGTTATTATCTTAAATAATATCACAGACTAAAGTTTGGAGAATATAATTTGCATTGCTAGAATCCTTGCAAAACAGTGAATAATTTGAATATAAACATCATATATTTTGCTCAAGAGATAAAAATTTTAGCCCTTTGTAATAAAATTAATTAGAACATGTCAGTTCAGTGACATTTTATAAGAGAAAAACTTAGTCAGTCTTGGACAGAAATAAATAAGCACTAGACCTTGGCATCAACTGTCAAACATATCACCTCACCTCACCTCCCTCCCGACCACCTTCCCAGCCAGTAAACAGACCATTTCACATCCCATAATTTTAGCTGTGTTGATTTATGAGTGTTTGTTTTAACATCGTACTACAAAAACAATGTTTTGTTTATTCTAGGAGATGGGCTGAGGTGCACCTGTAGATTCTCAGTCTCTTAACATTTGTGTTTCTCTCAAGTACCAAACTAAATTATTCCATTGAAACAACACTTCGATTTAGTGCAAATTCGGTTTAAAGCGACCTCTGTTGGAACGTATCTCGTGTTATATCGACGTTCTACTGTATAATGCATTTTGTAGTTATTTCAGTTTAATGATAATTGTAATATAAAAATTGATAATAAAAAAAAATCAGCATTGTATATGAAGTGAAATATTTCAATAACCAGAATTTTTGTTTTATGAAAAATCTCTCATTAATGGTTGCACAGATTTATTCACATTTCTGTCAAATTACTGTAAGAAACCCTTCATTAAGAAAAGAACACTCAAGATACAAAGGCTTAATTTTACAGGTACAAAAACTACTCATCTTATTTACAACCATTCCTTGACAACATGGGTGCTGAGAGCCCTGAGTCCCTTATTGAAGTACTGCTGGACCTGTTCTCTCACCTTATTGAGCTCGACCACACACAGATACAACCACTGTATAAAGATTTATTTTCCAAGTAAGTTACAATCCTGGAATTTTTTACTAACAGAAGTGTGACTCAAGTTATTGTTTCCCATCTGTCCAGATGCATGGATATGCATGTGTGAGTTTACATATGTGTGTATGTTTGGATATACATTGGTTTGCATTTATGTTTTTATATGTGTGAGTGCAATGATTTTTGTGTGCATGTATGTTTGTATGTGTGCATGCATATACAGGGTGTGTGTGTGTGTGTGTGTGTGTCCAAACATCTTCAGAATGTGATATTTTAGTCTTAAAGAATTGAAACAATGAAACTGGGTAATATATATATATATATATATATATATATATATATATATATATATATATATATATATATATATATATATATATAAAATCAACACTCTCAACCCGCTAGGAGTCTAACCTAATGCCCACAAGATATATATATATATATATATATATATATATATATATATATATATATATATATATATATATATATATATATATATATATATATATATATATATATATATATATATATATATATATATATATATATATATATATATATATATATATATATATATATATATATATATATATATATATATATATATATATATATAACAGCTGTTATAATGTTCATATTGTAATTTAAACAAAGATTGTAACCTATAATTATATGAAGGTTTTAAATATTAATCTTACATTTATATCAGGTTATTAAGTTTTCTAGTTTGACACCTTTTATCAGTCAGCTCCTGTTAATGTGCAAGTAATTTTGGAATCAGATAATAAACTACCCTTTAATTGGAAGCTAAGGCCTGACCTTGCAGTCGTCTATCCCTATTGTAACTACCTATCCCTCATAGTTAGGTGAATTGGAAGTAAAGGTTGCCCACCAGAGGCAAGAGACTAAAAGTCAGCCGTTTCTACCTTGTCAGACTCAATCCACACATCATACCGACTATGGCCACCTTCTTGATATCAGTCAGTCTGGTGTTTTGGATGCAGTCCTCAGGTGTCTGCCTCAGGGCAGATGAGGCGATATAGCCTTAGTTGATGTGGCATCTTTTAGAAATTAAAGAACAGAGCAGATGTCTCTGGTGGAGGACATCAAGCTAGAAAGGAAGAGTGACCTTGAAGTCCTATTTTTCAGATAAGTTCTTAACCAGGCAGTTCAGACACCCTCTTTCCTCCCAAGGGTTTGTGAGTTGTCAAAGGAAACTAAATCTGAAATAGTGAATTTTATCTGAAATGAAGTTGGTGGATATACAATACAGTAGTTGATGTGGTGTGTGTACTAGTTAGGAAGACCTGACTTAATTTTGGACCTCCTGCTTCTACTGTAGAGGGCAACCTTTCCTTCCAGTTCACCTATTTGAAGGAGACAATTGCAATGGTGAGGGATGAGCCCCGAGCTGTCAGTTAGGGATTAGGCTACTGCCATATAACCCCTAATATGGCTTGTATTAACAGAACCAACTGGCCTGGTGTTAGGTAGAAAACAGAATTTCAGGATAAAGCCCACATTTCTCAAATTTCAGGGTGATGTCATGGATGCATTCTGGACAGTGTGGTGTAGCAGCTGTGAAGCTCATACAGGCTCTCATATCTGTTGATCAAGATTCACTCAGCTCAGACCGCATTGAGAACTTCATTTCCACCATCACAGTATGTTCTCTTTTTTTATTTATTTTTTATTTTTCTAAGCACACCTGAAGATGTGCCTTGACTCCATGACTTAAAGGTATATTCAAGTTAGGCTTGCCTAGCACATTGTAATTGTGAGTCATCTCAGGGCATCTGCTAAAGGGCTTGGTGTCACACATCACAGGCAAGTTGAGGTGGGTTAGGCCATGTTATGTTGTGTTTAGGTGGCTCAAGTCTGTCTCATGCTGGGTCAAGAAGCCATCATGGTCTAGTGATATGTATGTCTTACATGAGAACACTGGTTCTCTTCAGGAACCTTTTTTCTCTGAGAATTAAGAGATTCAGGAAAGACTGTCACTTTGAGTTAGTCTAGGTACTGTAATCAAGCTGGATAAAGTGAACATACTGGATGTTTCATTACTTTAATAATATACCATATAATACCATTTGCTCACCACGTGTAGTAAAACGTATTTCAGGATCAGTCACCCATTCATTTAATTTACTAGATCATTTACTGTTCAATAATGATTATGGAATTCAAACCCATTTGTAGCATTTTCAGTTAACCTATTCTGTAAATGGATACATAACTTAATTTTACAGGTTTGGGAAGTGAAGTTGGTTGATTGCAGTGCTGGCAACTCTGCTACCTTATGTACTGAAAGCTTAGTATACAGTGTGCTGTATCCACACTGTCTCTAAAGGGCAATCATGCCTATTGAACCCACTTTCACTTTCATCTCATTGACTTCCAATCATAATATTGTTTATTTATGTTATGACTTTCTTTAATGATTGTTTTAGGTGTCTTTGAACTTTGGGAAAGACTTCAACCTGAGCCAGAATCGATTGTATCACATCAACGCCCTTTTAACTCTGTTAGAAGGACTATGCACTCGGGACTCAGCGTACCGCCTCATACTAGGGGATATGCTTCAACCATCTGTGTTTTCTTCACTTCTGATGAAAATTACGAGCATTGATGCCCCATGTGCTCTTTCAGGGAACACCTTAGTTCAGTCCTTCTACTCAGATTATGAATCTAATAGCAGCAGGTAAGTTAACGCTTTCTTCACAAATCTTACATTACTTAATGGACTCTCGATTATTGTCGAGTCTCTTGGTTCTTTCTCAAGTGTCCTGAAATATAAACTAAGCATAAGAAAATGTTCTCATGTAATTGAGCTTGGTAACTACTAGGCACTAATTAAATTTAGCTAAAATGTAAGAGAAATGGCATCCAGAATTTCAAAATCTCCACATTAACTTGAGGATTCAATGGGTCCCTGTTTTTCTTGCAGTACAAAGTAAAATCTATTTTGGAGATATGATGGGACTATTGTGTGACATACTCAAGGAACCCCTGTTAAGTTGTCTGCAATTAAGAGAGTTGCCTGGCTATGGGCTCTGGCAGAAAAGGGGATCTTAGATTTATTACTTCTTTGATAAAATTAATGTATAATCTTGGATTGTCAAAATTATTATTGAAGCTGGTTTTATTTTTGACCAGTGGCATCTACTTATAGGTGAGCATTGACATTTAGGGTGTCTGATGTCTTCTAAATCACTTCCCTCATCTTAAAGATATTGTGGGTGTAGTAGAAGTCAGGACGATGTATCAAGCCTCTCCATAAATGACATGAATGCCAGCTTCAAGGAGAGCATGGCACAGTCGGTGGTCCTTATTCTGACAGTGGTCAAGCTTCTTGGTTCAAAGAATGCAGAGTTTATGCTGGTGTATAGTGAGGTAAGGATGAATTTTCTTTTAATTATATCTACTTTTATATTGTACAATAGAATTAAGCACTGAAATGCTGTGTAGAGGTGGTCTTAAAGTTCAGATTTTATGAAGATCCCAATTATTTTCTCCTGGGGATGAAACACTGTATTCCCTCAATACACTTTTTTTTATAGGTTATGAACAGATACAGTGTTGTGATAAGCATTATACTTTTCTTAGATAAATCATTTAAGATGAATAAAATGTTTCTTTATACAGTTAAACATCACAAACAACTACTGTATTTGTTTTGTATTGAGTGATTTTTTTCGTGTTTATAGGTTTAGTGTTCTGTGAGGTCTGGTGAGAGTGATAGACATACAGTATATAAGGAACTCCTGCTGTTTCCTATAATGCAATGAAACCTCAAGGTATAGCCAACTCTTAATAGTAAGAGGAAATTAAGAATTAGTGAGTGTCATGGTATTTAACAGTGATGTAGTTGAGGAAACCAGGAACTAGACTATTTGCAATTTTAGCCTTTAGGCATCACCTGAGGAATAGCCTCTTCCCCCTCCCCCCAGGTAGTCTTAGGGTATTTAAGTGGGAGGCAAAACTTCAGGAGAACACTTTGGGGCCAATCTTAGGCATTAAAGTGCTCCCCTGAAGTTTTGTCTCTCACTAAGAATACAAACGGTTTCACTTGTGGTCTCCCCTACATCGCTGGTATATAATAGGAGCGAAAGGGGGTGGGGATAAAAGATGATTTAAAGGGGCAAAAGAAATATGTAGTGATTGGGTAGCCTGTCCTGTAGTCACTTCTGTTATGGTCATCCCCTCAAAGGAACTCAGCAGGAGAGTGATGCCTCGTTGTCTTGCTATATGTAAAATCTGCACACTTATGATGTGAATATTGGAAATGATGTTCTCTGTACTGTACTGTGCTGGTTACATTAGATATACAGTACTTAATTTGATAATATATTCATTATACCCTCACTATCAAGCATTTGGGGGCTACGTTAATATATCTTTCATGGTAATACTGTATGTTTATTATACCCATGCCAACATGCGTTTAGGAGAGGCATCTTGGATTACACTTTGCTATCCAGTAGAGTTATTGCTCAGAGATGAAAATTTTGCTTGTGGTTTTATTTGCCCCTTTTGGTACAGTAAATAAATGTATGCAATGAACATACAGTATGCTGTACTAGTAAATAACATTGTGAACTTTGTCATACTCTGGCTTATATGTTTTTTTTTTACATAGTTGGACTTGTTGATGGTATGTGTACAGCATACTTTCACTTTTATTTAGATTTTTTCTCTTTTTCTTCCTTACTAATTCATGTACTTTATTCCAATTGCTAGATGATCAATAACGCAGCACTGATGACGTACGTGGTTCGATGTGAGCGTTCCACTGTGCCTGACTTTGTTGCCAGAGCTGTTATCATTATATCAGAAGGATCAGTACCAAATACAAGGTAATTTTATAAATTTGGGAAGCAGGACTAAAATATATGAACAAGATGCAAAACCAAAATATATGAATGAAAGTTAATTAGAATACAGCAGATTTGGTGTTCATTTTGTCAAACCTATTTAACCCCGATGAACTAAGATTCACACAAGGATTCACCCGAGCTGGTGCTGGGGGTCCTATCCTTATTAAATCACCCTGAATTATGAGAGGTACCTTGTTCATAACTTTGGAGACGATTTCACCAAAGGAATTTTAAAAGAATGGATAAAACTGAATTTAATTAAATCAGTTGATTTATCCAGAAAAACACAGATACAGAGTGGATAATAATAACAATATTAACATGGCTGAGTCAGTTGAGAACCTGAGCTCTCCTGTAGGCACCTGGTATAGATTGTACATTTATCTCAAGGAAGTATTATGTAACATTTAGTAACATCTGGAATAGTACACATAGCATGGTGGTAATAAGAACATCTCAGAATGTTACCATGGTTATCACTTCAATATTTATATATTTTATTTATTTATGATTTATTTATTTATTTATATATTTATATTTATATTATAAGTATACAATATTACCCCGCTTTACGCGTTTCCATTTTTACGCGTTTCCATTTTTACGCGGTACCCTGCCAGACCCGGGATGTTCACTTTACGCGGTGCGTGTACTCTTTTACGCGGAGAGCGGCTGGCGGTCATCTCGCGCCGCGCCATTTTTGGATTCAAACCTCCCTCCGTCTCTCCCGCCATGTTGGGTAAGCGGCGTGAGTAGGTTGCGCAGTGTATGTCTTTGTTGCGTTATCGGTGATGTCATATGACGTATCGGTCTGTGATTGGGCCAAGCATCCTTACCTCCTTCCCCCGCTAGCTGTGATTGGTTTAATGTAATATGACGTGCCCCGCCGAGGGAGCGTTCAAGCCCGTTGACCTACCCGGGTCAGTTACACCCCTCCCGGCTACACCGTGTATATCGGTATCTATTGTTCCATAAGAATGGCTTCCACCGGACCACCACCACCACAAAGAAACCTTGCATTACCTGGACCCAGCCGCCCTAAGCCAAAGAAGATATGACGTGCCCTAAGCTACGAAATTAAATACAAGATCATCCAAGAGTTGGAGAAAGGAACAAGACAGGTTGATCTCACGCGCCAGCATGGTGTTAACGAATCTACGATCCGGACGATCAAGAAGGATGCAGCCAAGATAAAGGAGCACATGAACATCACAAAGTTTACAGGTGTTTCTATGATCAGGTATTGCCACAACCAGGTGCTTCTCAAGACGGAGAAATTACTTGTGAGCTACTTGATTCGTCAGGCAAGACGGAACATGGCGGTGGACACGCGCTCAGTTAAGGAGTACGCACGTGAACTGTATGCTGCATTGTCACGTAAGATGGGAATTGCAGAGCCCAAACCCTTCAATGCTTCCTCTGGGTTGTTGCAGAGGTTTAATAAGAGGAACAAGACCACCAACATTAACATTGGTGGTGAAGAAGCTAGTGCTGACCGTGTTGCGGCTAGGGATTTTCCTCCGTTTTTACGTGAGATTATGGAGGAAGGACAGTACACCGACGACCAGGTGTTTAACATGGACAAATCTGGTCTTTTTTGGAAAAAGCTACCTTCCAAGACCTTCGTTGTGAAGACTGTCAGCATGTGTCGGGGCCGGAAGTTGCAGAAGGAGCACATCACCGTCCTGTTTACCACCAATGCCTCCGGTACCTGTAAGCTCAAGTTATCGGTGATCCACACAGCACGCAAGCCGCACGCCTACAAGAGCATGGACATGACCAAGCTAAATGTCCACTGGCAGACCGCACGTAAGACGTGGATGTTCTCTACTCTGTCCCTCTCCTGGTTTGATGGCTATTTCGTTCCATACGTGAAGAAATTCTGAGAGCAACAGAATGTTCCATTCAAGATTTTGTTGCTGCTTGACAACGCACCAGGACACTCGCCCCTACTGTTGGATCGTCACCCCAACGTAAAAGTGGTCTTCCTTCCTCCCAACACTACGTCATTAATACAGCCTATGGACCAAGAATTAATCTGCAATGTGAAAGCTGCATTCTCTGCAAAGAAATTCAAGCTCCTGAACGACTATACCAACACCAAGGATGAGTTGCGTAACCTCGGTGACACCGATAGCAAGAGCGAAGAGGACGAGGAACAACAGTTGGCAGAGCAAGAAGTACTTGTGAAACACTTTTGGAGAAAATTCAACGTCAAGAAAGCTGTGGACTTCTTGGTGGAGGCATGGGATTAGCTGTCTGCAGCCACGGTTCGTCACGCATGGAGTCATGTGTTGCAAGGTATTCCAGGTGGGAGGCAGAGTCAATCTGTGACTGGTGAGGTTCAGACTATTGCAGTAGCAGTGGACCTTGCCAGAGAAGCTGCGCAGAGTGTTACAGCTAAAGGCTTCTCCGAGACCACCAACGACGACATTATGGAGGTGATAAAGGATCCTGATGTGACTGCCGATGAGATGTTAGATGATGATGACGTCAGTGAAGAGGCAGGTGGTGCGTCATCCCAAGAAGAACGCAAGTTATCGCATAGTAATGTAAGGGGTGCCATCGAGTGTGTAGAGAAACTGAAGCACCTCCTTTCCGAAGACCCTGACGATAACCGGTATGAAGTCTTCCCTACCCAGCTGTTGCAGACTATGGAGCCCTACATCAAGGTGTATCACGACAACATACAACACTAGCCATCAACAAAGCATTACCGAGTTCTTCGCCTGCAACCCACCACAGCCAGCTCAAGCCAGTGATAGTGACAGAGACAGTGATGGTGACTTTTAGGGATTTGTCAGGGAGGCACTGATAAGTGTGAATGGCAGTGATGATGACTCACCTGAGGGTCAGTAGCCTGCCCTCTGCCTCGGAACCAGCCTCCATTCCCGTACGCCGACCCATCTCTTCTACTAACGTAAGTGTTAAACTTAACCTTGATTTTTTCTAACCTAACCTACAGTATATATTCTTTTATTGATTGTTCTCTTCTATATTATGTGTGTGTGCATACCATCATAAAGTTAAGATGTTATTTTTACTAAAACGTACGTATTGTGTCGGGAAAAAGTGGAGTTTGGGGGTCGGCCCAGTCTCTATTTCAATTAATCCCATGTGTTTTGTTGTTCACTTTACGAATTTCTCGCTTTACGAGGGCCTCCGTGGGTTCAATTGACCGCTTAAAGCGAGGTTTCACTGTATACATAAATTACAGTGGAATTGAAAATCATAAGTATAATGGGGGAGCAGTACAACATGGGTTGTACAGTATTAAGGTTGAACAAAAGGACAGAGCTGTCAGGATTATGTCTAGTCGGCAAATATATTTATTGCAATGGTAATTTCTTATCTATTTACATGATTATTTCCGATAAAACAGTTTTGATGGTACAATGAAAGCAGGTATATAAAGTAGGTATTACAAGAAATTAAAACTTAGACAATACATATTTTTTAAGAGATGATTTAAAGGAAAGGAGCGTAGTCTTTGCTCGGATGGGTGGGGGTAAGTTGTTCCACATCTTCACACCATGATATTTTATGGAGGTCTGGGACTGAGAGGAGCACATGGAGGGCGGTCTTAGTAGCCCTGGGTGCCTTAAGTTGTATCTCTCATTATTCCGGAACTGGAAATAATTATTGTCAAGCAAGTGATTGATAGATTTGTAAACAAAGAGGGCACAGCAGTAGGTGTTAATATCTTTGAATTTTAAAATTTTCCATTTAGCAAATTTTTCATTTGTGTGATCTGTTTTTTTTCAAGTAGGTCATTGTCCGTACAACTCTCTTTTGTGCAGTAACCAAGGATTGTGTTTTTGAAGAGCCAGAAGCCCCCCATAGTGTGTGACAGTGTATCAAGTGTTGGTAAACAAGATAATGAGAGATTACTTTCATTGCTGTGAGAGTGAGTGACTGTCGAGTGTGATACATGATACCGCACTGTTTAATGACTTTACTGTGAATGGCTTGTATGTGGTTTCTCCAGTTAAGTTTCTCATCAACAATAACTCTGAGGAATTTAGTATTTCGTTTGCATTTGAGGACTGTATTACCAAGGTACAGGGGGTCCAAATCTGGGGTCAAGTTTTTCCTAATGTGAAAGATCGTGTAGTGGGTTTTCTCAAGGTTTAAGGTCAGTTTATTACGTATTACCCAGGTCCTGACTTTAGTCAATTCAGTGTTCATAGTTCTCATCAAGGAATGGAGGTCTGAGTTGCTGGCATAGAGATTACTATCGTCTGCAAATAAGTTGTATTTTATGAGTGTGCTGGCGTGGACTATGTCGTTTATGTACAACAAAAACGTACTGGACCGAGAATGGAACCTTGGGGGACGCCATACAAGATTGGCGAGGAGTCAGATTGGTGATTATTATAGCAGACATACTGCTTCCAGTTGGACAGATATGAGGTAAACCAATTGTGGGATAGGCCCCTAACGCCGTAATGTTCAAGTTTTGAACGGAGGATGGTATGGTCGACAGTATCGAAGGCTTTAGAGAGGTCCAAGAATATAAGAACATAAGAAAATAAGGAGTCTGCAATAGGCCGGTTAGCCTGTTCATGGCAGCTCTTGTTGAGAGTTACTACCACTCTCTATCATCCATGAATCTATCTAGCCTCCTTTTAAAACTTTCCAGCGTTCCAGCACTTACTACAAAGTTGCTAAGCTTGTTCCACTCGTCCACCACCCTATTTGTGAACCAGTTCCTTTCTGTCTCCCTCCTAAACCTAAACTTATCCAACTTAAATCCGTTGCTACGAGTCCTATCCTGCTCAGATTTTATAAGAACTTTATCTATATCTCCTTTATTGATTCCTTTCACCTACTTAAATACTTCTATCTTATCTCCCCGCACTCTTCGTCTTTCTAGGGAATGCAAGTTTAGTTTCTTTAACCTATCTTGATATGGAAGGTTTCTAAGTCCCGGAATCATTTTCGTCATATACTAACTGTGAACTGACTGTCATCAAAGGAATTTAAGATGTCATTAGTAAAGGATAGCAGAGCACTCTCAGTCGACCTTCTAGTTCTAAATCCAAACTGGGAGTCTGTAAAGATATTGTTGGCATTGCAGAATGAATTTAGTCTACTACATTTTCCCCTTGGCCTTTCTATCATAATCATTCTTGCACATTCCAGATAAACATTGCTATATACAGTACTTGTACTGTATAATATTAGTGTCTCTTATAGCTAAAGAGAGTGAAGATGAACATTGATCAAAGTATTATATTGAATATGAGAAAAAAATTAGATGCCAGATAGAAAAATTTGCCAAATACCCATAACTTATTTATTTATTGATGTTATGTTTTCAGTATGGGTTCACTAGTGAAGGCATTAGAGGAAGCCAATGCCTGCACTCATCCTTCCCTGAACTTGAATCTTGGTGGTCCCAATGTCAGACTCCCTGGCTCTCGGTCTCATCCACAGCTTTTCTCACCTGGTTGTGAAGCAAGTGTGGACAGCATGATAGAACGACTGGGGGGTACTGTTGATAAGATGGAGGTGAGGTTGTGATCGCATCATTATATTATTTTACTTGTCAGTGTGCAAAACCTCTTGTACCAGAAGTTAATATGATGCTGCTAAGTGATATAAAGAGGGAATTTGTAACTGCTTTAGTACAGTACTGTATATGTTTTTTATTATATGATAAAGATAACTTGTAAATAGAAGCTAAGAGTGTATGGTCAGTGACAAAACACAGGCTAACATTCCATTTTATATAGAATCAACAGGTAGGGTAGTGTGATCATCAACCATAGATTCATGTACCTATACTGAAGTTTACTTTGTCATTTGCAAAACCTGATGTAATTTTCAGGGGTACAATATGGTCGAGTTTTGTTAGATGTATGTACAGTGAAACCTTCATATAACGGACTCTTCTCTTCGTGTAATATATTACATGGGGGGTATCACATTTAATGGACCCTCAATATAACGGACTTTAATATCTATATACTGTACAGGGTAGTTCATTAGATGGAGGTTTCACATCTAACGGACCTTCGATATAACGAACATGCATTTCCATATACAAGAGGTATCCCCATTAGCCAGAACAATTGGTGCAGAGCACTTCCGGGAATGAGAGATTTCCGGGTAAATAGACAACTCTCTCAAAGCCTGAAAAAATCCCTCATCCCCGGAATTTTCTGGATAACGGAAACTTTTTCTCGGAAGTTCCTGAATGATGCATTACTTCATCTCTCAAAGCGGGAAAAAAAATCTCCCATCCCCGGAATTTTCTGGGTAATGGCAAAAATATTCTCGGAAATTCCAGAAATTGTGCACTACATCTCTCGAATCTGGAAAAAATTTCCCCCCATCCTCGGAATTTTCTGGGTACTGGGATTTTTTTTTTTTACTGTCCAGAAAATGTGCCCCTTGAAAAATCTTTCCCAAACCAGCAATTTTCTGGAAAATTCTGACTTTGGAAATGATTTTCCGTGAAAATTTCAATTCCAGCTATCAGAGAGTTCCAAGTTTGAGGGATTCCGGCTAACGAAGATAGTACTGTAGTCCGTTAAACAAAGGTTGTACAGTACATGTATACAAATATCATTTAAAGAAGAATAAACCATCAGTATTGAAGTTTTGAAGATTCAGACATGATGACCACGACATGTACTGTATATACAGTGGCTTTCAATTTAATTTCAGATAAAGGACTGCGCTCTCACTGATATAATGGAAATGTATGAATACAAGCTGGCAGCCATGGCACACGTGGAAAGGTCACTTCAGAATGCATTAACTGCAGCAGATGTACAAAACCGCCAAAGCCACCACTCAATGCTGCAAACAAGAGTACAAGTAAGTAAACGGATATTTGACGGCTACTTCACTGTGGTAAGATTCACTCTATATTGTACTGTTTATGAAAATTATGAATGTTGGATGACAGATTACAAGGAAAGTGGAATACTGTCAATTTATTCATCAAAAAGTTAGAATTTTGCTAAGTACAGTACAGTGGTTACTCTAGTGACCCTTAAAGTTATTTGAGGAGCACAGCACCGAAGTAGGACAAGTAACAGTATGTCTGAAAATGATACTTATGATATTTTTCACTAGTATCAATTAAATCTGCACTATTAAGGCTGCAATCTGCCACTTGAATTATTTTAATATCTTCACTGGTTCCAAAGTTATGGTAATTTGAATGTTTGCAAACTTTAACTGCATTTTTCTCTGTTATTAATTTAAGCCTTTGTCCTACTTCGGTTGTGTGTGCTTTATTTCACACGAAACTATTTTTTTTTTTTCTAGTGCTAATGATTGGCTTTCAGTGATTTTTTTATGCTGTGTTTTAGATGTATTTTTTTCATTACAGTATACGGATCAACGCAAGGTAGGTAGATACCAGGTAGCCTCATGCAGGCACATAGGAAATCACTAATTGGCAACTCTACTCTCGAGATCGCTAAACCACGCCCCTTTTGTCACTTCATGCGTTTGTAATATTGTGGTATTATTATCTGTATAGATTCTTTCTCTAATCAAAATATACTGGCATAAAATGTTATTAGTCAGATATATTGGTGTACAGTCAGTTCTGCTATAACGCGATAGTTGTGTTCTTGTAAAATATCGTGATATAGAAAATCGTGTAATAGAAATAACAGGGCTTATGGAGAAAGTAGGGTTAGGTGCAGATTACTACTTGAAATCGAAAAAAAATTAGTAGTTAGCCTAACACAAAGGATAGCACAGTCTAAATAAATGTTACATTCATATCTAATAATGAAATCATACAGTAAATTTAACACTTAACCTTGAAAAAATATGAATATAACTTGATGGGGGAGAAGGGTGAGTTTGAGGTTGATAACATCGAGCTTCTCTTCAAGTGTTATATCCTTTCTTTTACGATCATCACCGGGAATGCGATCACCAGAACGCTTCTTGGAGATATTCTTTTTTACCATATTCAGTTAATACCACAAAATTGGAGAAATAGTAAGCAAAAATCGCGTTACAGCAAACAAGCGTTCGCGTTATACAAATATTGTCCCTCTATTCATAAATCGCGTTAGAGCCATTTCGCGTTATCAAAACACGCGTTATAGCAGAACTCACTGTAGATAATTTTTTCCCATGAAATATATAATTGTTGTAGATTTTTACTATACCGGTACTGTATATTTTGACAATTGAAGATGCATAATACATTATATATAAAACAGGAAACAAAACGTATGCACATTTAATGTACTTACAATATACAGTATGATCTTCGTAGGTTGTAGCATTCCTGATTTGACCTCCTAATCCCGGTAGATTTACTGTTGGACGTGAGTGTGGCTTTAAAGAAAGCTTTACATTGTCTACTGCTAAATGGTAATTAAAACATTCAGATTTAAAATGCACTGAACATATCGTATGCCACGCCTTCACTTGTTTGGTGTTTTTTATATCTTCTTTTACAGGCATCTAGCCACTTTGCCCGTAACTTTGTCCCGAGGGAATGAATAAAAAGATACAAACTTTTTCTTCTTTTCTGAGTTGAATTTGCAGGTGGCTACAGCGCAATAAATCATTGTTATAAAAGAAAAACACTCCACTTTCACTTGTAAATATCCCACTTCTACTGTTTGATGTAACGAAGTGGGCGGAGCTTAATAAGCGATGTCATCGCTAGCCAATCAGCAACGTTGGATTGAATCTAGCGGTCGCAAGCGTCACAAGAAAGATATTTATATTTATTTTATATATTTAATCTGTGGCTCCAATTAAAATAAAACAAAAACTCTCCATTCTATACATTTATTGTACAACTTTTAATACCATCATAAGCCTTCAAAAATACGTAAAGAAAAATTTCAATTTTATTTTCATTAGCGTAGAGCTTATGGGAGTGAGGCTACCTGGTATCTACCTACCTTGGATCAACGTACTTGGGACTACAGTAGTTCATAACAGATTGTTTTAATAAAGAATTCTATCTCAAAATGTGGGTCTGGTTTCTTAAGTTCCAATTAATAATTTCTTATGAATATAAATCTTCATGTTTGTGTGGAATGTTTCTTCTTGTTCTAGCATTTTCTGCAGATTTTTCCACGTGTTTTTATCACAATCACCCACACAATAGTGAAGAGAAGTAAGGTTATAGATGCAGTAGATAGGTATGTTGCTTTAATTTCTTTATCAGTATCATTAACACTGGTTTCAGAATGACCATCTAAGGAGTTTGCTATGTTCTTGGGAGGAGCGTCTACAAATAGCACAGAAGGAGAAGGCTGAAGTGCAAGCAAGCATTTCACAAATTCAAAGTTCCGCTCGGCAGCATCGAGAAAATTTCCGTAAGGTGAGTTTCACCATGCACATTGGTTAAACATAGGAATTGTGTAACCTATCAGAGATTATTTTGAATAAGAAATGTTAAACCTTTATTAAAATATTTTCTTTGCCACTATTACCCATTGGATAATTTGGGTTGCCTGTCTCTGTTAATCAAAAACTTGTCATTGCAACTAACTTGACAACTTTGGAGTGATTGTTTTAATATTTTGTCTGCATCATTACCATTCAGAGATGTGCATAATTTTTTTTTAAGGCTTAAAGGAACAAGGAGAGAGAGAGAGAGAGAGTTTTTTCTTTCTTTCTTTCTTTCTAGTTTAGTGTGTGGATTTGTGGTATAGCTCCCATTCACCCAAGTATAAGAGTTCTGGGAAACCTAAGGCATCAGACCACAAGCTTAGTGATGCAGAGCATGAGTTGCCCAGTCCTTACAAGTTAATTAAATAGGGATTCAGAACCTCAGTTTGTTTATTATATTTAGGAAAAAACTGACATGGAAAGACATAACTTGAACCAGAAGAAGGAAATATCATCGCTGAGAGACCATCTTGATAATCGTGAAGAGGCCATTCGCCGACTGCAGCGACAGTTAAACGACGCCCACAACGAAAGCAAAAATCTCAACAAGCAAGTCAAGGAAGAGCAAGAGAAGTATCAAAGTGAGTTGACAATAAACTGGATTTTTTTTTTTTTTTTTTACTAACTGCAAGTGTCAGCTACCTTCTGACTCGCCATATCGATACTGTACACCTCCACCACCACATGCTTCTTTTACAATTAAGGGAATATTTGAATCTAAAATATATTATGTATACAGTATACAGTAAAGCCTCGAATAACGATGGTAATGTGTCCTCTAATATTGCAGTATAAGGTGAATCATCGTATCGTGAATCATTAATTACCATTAAAATAAAGTAATAATAATGAGATGCGTTCCCTAGTGTGACCTTTTCATACCTTTTGTGTGACATTTTACCCTCTTTTCCCCCCAAAATAATACAATTAATGAAAACTGCAAACTATATTCTTTAAATAATGTTTCTGAATGCACCTTATACAATATAAATGAATAATGATATAGTCACACAAGAGGAGATGGGACGTCATTGTTTTCGTTAGTGTTTACAGCCGGGAGTCCGGGACGATAGTTCTATACGAGAGAATGAAGAAAATAAGACCTGTTGTAGCTGTAGTAAAATTAATGTAAAAAAAATGAATATATATGTTTTAAATAATGTTATTTCATGTTAATAAATGGAGCAATAGAAGTAGCTAACCACTACTGGCAAAGAAAAAAAGTGAGATGGATTGGGAACGCCAACATATACGTGCACATTTAAGGATACCACGTCATTTATCTTTTTAAGAATATGTACAAAAGATTCATTATTGTTTATTACTGAATATGTAATTGATTGAATTAATCTTTATATATGCGAAATGAACAATGCAATTCATTAATAATATGTAGAATATTAAAACACACAAGAGGATAAGAGATGGCATTGTTGTCGGTGTTTACACCCATAATGTCAGTTTTCCACCTGAAACTGAAGAAAATAAGACCCTGTTTGTTGTTGTAGTAAAATTAATGTAAAAATATGTATGTTTTAATTAATGTTAGTTAATGTACAGTAGAAATACCCACTGATATTAAAGAAAAAAGTGAGATTGATAGTGGAATGCCAATGTATACGTGCGCACTCATGGAAACAGTCATTTATCTCAAGAATATGTACAAAAGATTCATTATTGTTTATTACTGTATATTTATTTGATTGAATTATTGTTTATAAATGTGAAATGAACAATGCAATTCATTAATAATATGTAGAATATTAAAACACACAAGAGGAGACAAGACAGCATTGTTTTCGTGAGTGACGATGGTTCTACATAAACTGAAGAAAGTAAGACCCTGGTTGTAGCTGTAGTAAACTTAATGTAAAAAAATTTAATACCTGTATGTATGTTTTAAGTAATGATATTTAATGTTAATAAATGGAACACTAGAAGTAGCTAACCACTAATGGTAAAGAAATAAAGCGAGACGATTGGGAACGCCAACGTATGAACAGTAAGTGCGTACATATGAAAACATATCGTCATTTCTCTACATATGAATATGAAAGCAACACTTATTTACTGTTCAATACTGTATGTTTTAAATAATACTTAAGAATGTAAAACAAAAATTCTACTCACCTATAGTGGTACCTCCTTTCCTCACACAGCCAAACTGTGGATTGCTCTGCCTCCTTCTGTGTTTCCATACTTATACAATCTGTCTCACTTTAAAAAGCTGGTTTTCCGGCATCTTCGCGGTATAGATTAACACAATATAACCTTTTTGTTCTCTTATTCCCCCCAGGCCCCGTTGTGGGTCGTTTGACCTGTGTCTGGGTGGGCTAATTCCCGGGAAAAAAAAAAAACGCAAATGACCTCTACATAAAGATGTATACTGTAATGAGAAAAGAAAGCAGCTGTGCAAGGTTCTTTTGACAGCTTTATTATTTGAAGGCCTAAACCATCAACTTCAGCTACACCATCAAATTCAGCATCACTAGCAGCTTCAACATCAACTTCAGGTTCAGTAACAGTTTCAGCAACAGCTTTATGGAAAGCTACAGCTTCAGCCAGAGTTGAACCTGATGACTTCGTCATCTGAGTAAAAATTCGCACAATATTCATTGGCTGTCCTAATGTTTTAGACTTTACAACCATTGGTGAATAGAATTTTAGTTTTACATTCGTAAATATAATTTAAAACATATGTGAACAGTAAATACGTGTTGCTTTCATATTCATATGTAGAGAAATGATGATATGTTTTCACATGTACGCATTTACTGTTTATACGTTGGTGTTCCCAATCGTCTCGCCTTATTTCTTTATCATTAGTGGTTAGCTACTTCTAGTGTTCCATTTATTAACATTAAATAACATTACTGTACTTAAAACATACATACAGGTATTCAATTTTTTAAAATTAAGTTCACTACAGCTACAACCAGGGTCTTATTTTCTTCAGTTTCTTATGTAAAACCATCGTCACTCACGAAAACAATGCCGTCTTGTCTCCTCTTGTGTGTTTTAATATTCTACGTATTATTAATGAATTGCATTGTTCATTTCACATATATAAACAATAATTCATTCAAATACATATTCAGTAATAAACAAAAATGAATCTTTTGTACATATTCTTGAGATAAATGACTGTTTCCTTGAGTGCGCACGTATACATTGGGTATAAACACTGACAACAATGTCTTTCTCTTATCCTCTTGTGTGTTTTAATATTCTACATATTATTAATGAATTGTATTGTTCATTTCGCATATATAAAGATTAATTCAATCAAATACATATTCAGTAATAAACAATAATGAATCTTTTGTACATATTGTTAAGATAAATGATGCGGTATCCTTAAATGCGCACGTATATGTTGGCGTTCCCAGTCCATCTCTTTTTTTTTTCTTTTTTTTTCTTTGCCAGTAGTGGTTAGCTACTTCGATTGTTACATTTGTTAACATTATATAATGTTACTTAAAACATATATATTAATTTTTTGACATTAAATTTACTGCAGCTTCAACCAGGTCTTATTTTCTTCATTTTCTCGTGTAGAATTATCGTCCCGGACTCCCGGCTGTAAACACAAACGAAAACAATGACGTCCCTTCTCCTCTTGTGTGACTATATTATTATTCATTTATATTGTATAAGGTGCATTCAGAAACATTATTTGAAGAATATAGTTTGCAGTTTTCATTAATTGTATTATTTTGGGGGGAAAAGAGGGTAAAAAGTCACACAAAAGGTATGAAAAGGTCACACTTGGGAATGCATCTCATTATTATTGCTTTATTTTAATGGTAATTAATGATTTCCGATAAGACGATTCACCTTACATTGCAATATTGGAGGGCACATTAACGTCGTTATTCGAGGCTTTACTGTATATATACTGTATAAAAATTTTTTCATTGACCCAATTATACACGTGCAAGTATGAATACCATGATTTATGTGGCCATGGTTAGGATAATAGGATGTAAAGAATAACTAACATGGATATGAGAAGAAGGTGCAGAAATGAGAGGGGTGTTGGACAGAGAGCTAACTAGGGTTTACTGTACTTAGATGGAATGGGAAATGAAAGATGGATAAAAAGAGTGTTTATTTCAGAGGTGAATGGTAGGAGAAAGAGAATGAGTTAGATTGAGGAAGGTAGTAGAGGAGAAGGGGATAGAGGTCCAACAAGCAGCAACATATAATACTGTACCCAGAAAGCAGGTTGTTAAGAATTTCTAGGTATGGGCCTGCAGCTGATGGCTGATGCTAGGTTGTGTGAAGCAACATGGATTACCCTAATGAATAGAATCTTTGGGCCTTGATGTAGAAGCAGTACACCATTTCAGAACACATTTGCTACCTTTAAGTGGAGAATGAATAACAGGAAATGAAGTTAGACTGTCCATCCTTTATTATAGTAACAAGGGGCTTGATGGAATAAAAAAAAAAATCACCTCTTCCTTGATTGTTGTAATATTTTGCTCTGTGTGTGTGTGTTTTTTTCTTGTTGGGGGTACTTAACATCATCCAGGATGAGTTAAACAACATTCTCTATGTGCAACTTTATTGCAGATTGCACAATACATTTAACTCAACTTACATTCTTCATGGCCTGCTCTATGTTTTGTGTTTATTATATATAACTTTTACTTGTAGGGTCACAAGATCAAAACCAAAAGCTTGAGGAAGAGCTTAAAAAAGGACGAAGGGAATATGATGATTTGCAGAAGGAGAATCAGAGAGTTGAAAAATTGCAAATACAACAAAAGAAAGAGGTACAGTAATCTTGTATTAATAGTCTTGAGAATTTTTAATTATTTTCTAATCTCAATACACCTCCAAGGTTTAACTATATGTATCTCGGGTCAGTACCCTTTTATTTATATGTATGGTTCAGTATCCTTCTAGATAGAAGAGAGTTTGTTCTCTTATGATGAGCTTTTCATATATTTATTTTTCTTCAGAACTCTGAATTGGAGATGCTGATTCACAGTCATGAGGAAACCATGTCAGCGAAGGAGAGTGAGCTGGAGGAAATGACAAGGAAATATAATGAATTGAAGCGTATTCAAGACATGATTCATAACATATCTGCAGGAAAATTGGGATTTTAATTCTTGTGGCTTCCAAATTACTGTAGTGTATTTATACATTTTGTATTTGTTATTAATCTTTTTGTGACTTTCGTTTGTAGTATTTTTGTATACTTTTTGTACTCTGAAGCCTTTTCCTGCTCGTTACTGGGTGGCTGGTGTTAAAGAGCCAAATGCACATACATTCCCCCTTCATTCTTTTTTCACTTTATTTATTATTACTGCTATAATAGATGTGCTATTCTATGGTACTCCTCTTCCATAACAATGCCCTTGAATCTAGTTTACTTTTGTCACTTCACACACACGCCAGCATTGCCCTTTAGCAGCACGTCCTGTCTAAATAATCACATGACACCTCTCTCTTGTACTAAGCCAACCCTTATCTACTCTGCCCAGCACGTCTTTCGATTTACTGTACTTACACATCTCCATTTTATTATTAATTTTTTTTCAGTGGACCCTGTTTACTCCACAGATTGCTCATTCCTCTTGTGTCATAAGTTGATGTATCACACCCATTACATCATGTTAGATCACCAGTTCCCCTGGTCATTCTCATCTTTTGCCTCCTTTGCCATGGTTGTCTTAGCATTTCTCAATCCCCATCCTTCCTTCCTTCTGCTATTTGTTGTCATTTCATTACTCATCATTCATTGGATAAAATTAGCCACAGTAATGGAAAGGAAGAAATTATTCTGAGATTAGCCTAAAACTTCCAATATGAAATGTTCTCATATTCTTTCAACTTGCAAGTAAATTAATAATGTTTTATAATGGATATACTATATTTTTTATTATTTTAAAAAGCTAATAAAGATGTGATATACTGTACCTTCAATTTACTTATTTTCAACTAATTATCTGTGTTGCCTTGTATATATATTTTGTGAATACATAAAACAGTAAAGGTAGATAAACAAGCTTACATATATGAGGTGCATATGACCAGAGTGGACAAAGCAGCAGAAAAAAAATGGAAACCTCTGGCGATTTCCTCTCTGATCTGTCACCCATCACCCTCACCACCAGCCCCTCACATAGTAACGTGTGGCTAGTTTTATTTGATAGCAAAATCGACCATATTGACACTGAGAGGTGGTTTACCTATCCTCCTGTAAATAAATGTCGATTTAGACCATAATGGCGCTTTGTCCACTCTAGTCGTAAACGTCTCATATACTGTTTTATTGTATGTTGAATAAATTTATCCTTGTTGACTAAGTTAATACAAAAAATCAAAGATAAAAAAAATAAAAAATATTGTACTCCTAAATATGTGAGGCAATATGATGTTCTGTTATTGTTGTACAGTAATTGATGATGATGTAGTCTGCTTCACATGAATTTGCAGCTGTCTGGTGAATGTTGAGCATGTGACGAGAAGTTGAACTGTAGTATGTGGCACAGCATAACAATGTGGACAGAATGGATGTTGGATAGTTTGGCTACTTTGTTGATGTTGGTGTAGGGAAGGATGGAAAGCACAGTTTAGTTTGGCAAGCTGTACTCTAATGTCCTTCGGGAGAGTTGTTTTTGATATGTGGATAGCCAGTAGGACGTAGTGTGTTCATTATGCTCTTTAGTGGGTCTTTACATAAAGGAAGTTGCTCATGTGCTGTGTTTATGGATGATTGTGTTGGGAAGGTGTAGGTGGAGGTATTTTTGAGTGTGTAGCAGTAGTATTGTGCTGTGGAACTTTGCTTTTTTGTGTTTGAGGTGGGAAGGTGGTATTCACAAATGCTTGATATTGCAATTATATGTCTCATTTAGGATACAACCTGTTTTTGAAGTGAAGGTTTGGTATATGTGATTCTCACTTTACATTTCTCAAATCTTTAGGGCTTTGATTTTTACCCAGTTTTTCCAACTCTTGATTACTTCCTAAAATTTCAGTGTGTTTTGGGAGGTAAATCCACATGAATACATCACACCTGTCTTGGAATTGTATGAACAGCATCAGCATTTCGTAGTTACCTCTACCTCTGCCCAGTTACCTGACAAAGTAAGCTCTCATGTAAAATCAATTTTACATGAAAGAACTTATACTGTACAGTCATAAAAAAATTAAACTGCACTTAGTGATGTACACAATAGCATACAGTAGATGATCATCAGTAAATTAGAAATGGCACCATGGTAACACATAGACTGAGATGAGAGTGAGTGTAATACAGGTTGTACCTCTCTAGTCCGGCATTCTGTGGTCCGGAACGATTTTAGTTTGTCCAATAGGTAGATAGGCAGCTCTTTTTTTTTTTTTTTTATCTGAATTATTATTATTATTATTACAGGAGTATTAAATTTTTGCCCCTCAGGCCCCAATGTGGGTCAGTGACCTATGCCCGGGTGGGCTAATCCCCGTAAAAAAAACGAAAACAACAAAGCCGCGGGAAATTAAGGTTTGTTTACATCCGGCAGTTCGGCTGCTCTCTCTCTCTGCTTGTCTATACAGAGTACAACATTTAACCCTTCAATATATATGAGCAGTAAATAAGTGTTGCTTTCATATTCTTATGTAGAGTACAGTGAGTTCTGCTATAACGCGTGTTTTGACAACGCGATTTATGAATAGAGGAACGTTATTTGTATAACGCGAAAGCTTGTTTGCTGTAACGCGATTTTTGCTTACTATTTCTCCAATTTTGTGGTATTAACTGTGAATATGGTAAAGAAGAATATCTCCAAGAAGCGTTCTGGTGATCGCATTCCCGGTGATGATCGTAAATGAAAGGCTATAACCCTTGAAGAGAAGCTCGATGTTATCTACCTCAAAATCACCCTTCTCTCCCATCAAGTTATATTAATATTTTTTCAAGGTAAAGTTTTACATTTACTGTATGATTTCATTATTAGATATGAAATGTTTTAGACTGTGCTATCCTTTGTGTTAGGCTAACTACTAAATTTTTTTCGATTTCGAGTAGTAATCTGCACCTAACCCTATTTTCTCCATAAGCCCTGTTATTTCTATTACGCGAATTTCTATAACATAATGTTTTACAAGAACACAACTATCGCGTTATAGCAGAACGGACTGTAATGACGATATGTTTTCACAGGTGCGCACTTACATACGTGCAGTCTCACTTTTTTTTTTTACCATTAATGGTTAGCTACTTATATTGTTCCATTTATTAACATTAAATAACATAACAGGTACTTCAAACAACCATATTAATTTTTTTACATTAATTTTACTACAGCTACAATCAGGGTCTTATTTTCTTCAGTTTTATATGTAGAACCAATCAGTCACTGGTTTTGTAAGCTTTAACAAAAACAATGCCGGCAGCCGTCTCGTCTCCTCGTGTGTTTTTAATATTCCACGTATTATTAATAAATTGTATTGTTTATTTTGCACACACAAACATTAATTCAATAAAAACAAATTCAGAAACATTAATTAAAATATATATGAACAATAAATAAGTGTTGCTTTCATATTCTTATGTAAAGTAATGATGATATGTTTTCACGTGTGCGCATGTGCACTTACATACGCGATCTCTCTTTTTTCTTTACCATTATCTTTAGCTACTTCTATTGTTCCATTTATTAACATTAAATAACATTACTTAAAACAACCATATTAATTTTACTACAGCTACAACCACGGTCAAAATTTTCTTCAGTTTTATATGTAGAACCAGTCAGTCACTGGTTTTGTAATCAACGAAAACAATGCTGTGTCATTTCCTCGTGTGTTTTAATATTCTACGTATTATTAATGAATTGTATTGCTCATTTTGCACACATAAACATTAATTCAATAAAAAAGACATTCAGTAATAAACAATAATGAATCTTTTGTACATAAGAGAAATGACGCTGTTTATACGATTATGCACGTCGTCTGCACGTTAGCGGGCCGTTCAAACCCGTAGAAATTCAAGTTTCCGCCGTCAAATTTTTTTTTTTTGTGTTCCAATAAAATACGTTAAGAATTAAAAACTCGCGAAAGTTGAGAAGCTACTATACGACATTTAACCCTTCAATACCTGGTATGTCTTCAAAGAGACCATGATGCAGAGAAAGTGGTGCTTGTGCTTCCAAGCATAAGCACAAGTCACTATCTATCCAGGAAAAGGGTGAATTTCCATGGTCCGGCACCGGTCAGGTCCCAAGGTTGCCGGACTAGAGAGGTACAACCTGTACACGAAAGAAATGTTGGTGAGGTGAGGTATGGGCAAGCTTAAGAAGGGTGAAGTCAGGGTAAAGGTGAGGCATTGTTAGTTATTTCATTATTCCTCCTCACCATCATTGTCTTTCACAACCACCATCTTATTGTCACCATCACCACCACCCCATCACCCCTGCCACAAACAATCTCCCCCTTCACCATTAACAATTTCCCCACCATCTCTAGCAATCTTCCCTTTCTATCACCATCACCAACAATTTCCTCCCTTCTAGTAACACACACACTTACACACACATACTCTGCCCACCACCCCCTAAAAATCTAGTGTCCAAGCATAACATCTCTGGGCCCTGGTACAGTGTCAAGTGTCAGCCCCCACACACACACACACATACACACCTCAGGATATGTCGTGGGCTTTTACTGTACAGTATATTAAACTATTTTTTTTTTTACAATACTTATTAACTGTAAAATATATTTTGGTAAACATGGTTATCAAAAATGTTCTTATAGAATTTTGTAACCTACTGTATGTAATTATCTTTATTAAGGATGGAAGGAAGTCTATTACAGCCAGCATCATTATTGATATTCCTATTCAGGTGCGAGTCCACCCAACCACTATGGTATCAGAGGCTCTGCAACCACCTGGGCCCCTTAACTCCCTGGGCCTGGGGAAAGCATACCCACCCCCCCCCCCCATGCTAGCGCACTAACAATCCTCTTGTCACAACCACTTCTCTACCACTTCTACTAACAATCTCCCTCAACACCATCACCAGCAACAACACAGAGCAAGTAAGATAATTCCTTAATTATATAATCTCAATTATCCAATTAGACTCACAGCCGGAGTTTTAAACACCCTCTTCCGTTCAAGATGGTCATCGTGTTTCAACCCAAGTTAAAAAAAAATGAGTCCTGAAAGACACCGCAGTACAGTGCTTGACGGTAAAAATAACTAATAATAAAATTAATTTATATTGGAATTAGTAATTTTACCGCCACACCACCCCGTCAAGTACTGTACTGCGGTGTCTTTCAGGACTCATTTTATTAAAAACTCGGATAGAAACACGACGACCCTCTCCAATGGAAGAGGATGTTTAAAACTCCGGGCGTAAGGGTCTTAGGACTGATAACTCTTCAGACAAGATACATCTATACAGATCGCACAAGGCAATTCAAATCTTGAAAGGGATGGAAAATGTTAACCCAGGCCATTTTTCATTAAGTCGTGTGCTACCAACATAGAGGGACACAGCTTCAAGCTCGCCAAGATGAATATAAGGAAATAATCCTTCAGACAGCGTGTGATAGACCCATAGAAAAGTCTACCAGCTCAGGCAGTTGAGTCAAATAGCCTTTCACAAGAATATCAAGAACAATGGAAGGATCCTACAGTGGTATGGCCACCACTAGTTTGGTGGTCATTAGGTAAATAAGGTGAACAATATCAACCCTCTCCAAAATCTACTATAACAACTACACTGGTTACTCAGCAATTGTGAGTTTTACACCCCAATGTTCTGCCACTCATCATACCAAGCTGTATGCCTTCCAGACCAATACTGTATAAGCACAATGTTGGCCTTGTATATCCCCTACTGTGGCTCCTTCATTAATTTTGCCATCACACACCAAAAGTTTTTCTGGCTTTCGTTTTTGTAAAATTATTCAGTGCAAACATATTGCTATTTTGTCATCTCCCTGCTGCTGCTTATGACTTACGATTCTTCGGTTTAACAAATAAAAATTTTTTTTTTTTTTGCTATAA